CCAGGTTGTTGTGTTTTTTTTAACTAGCCAGACCGTTTTTACTTAGAAATTGTTTTATTCTTTCATGGTCCTATCAGATCTGATTGTGGTTCTCTTTCACTGCAGTCTTGAGGATCTGAAGTCTCACCAGCTTTTAATGCTGGATCCAAATGTTACTGGTGTGTACAATGGAGCTTATCCCTTTGGAATTGATCCGGTTAGTTTTACTGTTCTCTGTTATCTGTTGTGATGATCAGTCATCTTTAAATTAGATTTTGGTACGTGTATTAGAGAGAGAAACACACTCTGGGGGGAAAAGAAGAAGCATTTCTGTTTTCCTTCTCCAGTAGAAAAGAGATTCCCTTAATGAATCAAAGATTGAACTATTTTCACACACTTTAGACTGAGTTTGTGATCTCAGCTTGACGTAGAATGCTGGTCTCGTAATAGAGAAAGGATATTGCTTTATTCCTTCCATTGCATTGCTCTGAAGGGTTTGTATCTTGTTTCTTCCTCAGATTTGGAATTTGGCAAGCAACCGTCTCAGTTTTTTAAATTCTTTCAAGATGAAAATGTCTGTGATTCTTGGAGTGGTTCACATGACATTTGGAGTTGTATTGGGAGTATTTAACCACTTGTAAGTACAAGAAGTCATGATAACCATAATGCTTTTTGCCAAGGCTGTAATTATACCAGTTAACCTGGCAAGAGAAATGGGGACAGGTGTGTGTTTTCTTTAACAAAACCCAGCATAATAGTAATTATCTTAAAAAAAAAAAAAAAAAGGCAGTAACAGAGGTTCTCTTTCACAAAAATTAGGTAATGGGTCAGTATTATTCCAAAAAGTATTTCACTTTTTGCTAAATGCAAGTACATGCTTCACATGGTATTGATTTCCACTAAAATACCACGTTAAAATGTCACTGAGTATGAAGAAATCTCTTTTAGGTCCTAAATTCAGTACTGCTCTTTAAAATGGCATTGTGACCACGTTTGGTCCCAAGTTTACCTTGATCTTACTTTGTAAAAGTTATTTATCCCTTTTTCTCTTTGTTTTCTTTTAGACATTTCAAGAAGAAGTACAATATTTATTTGGTTTTTCTTCCTGAACTTTTGTTCATGATGTGCATCTTTGGCTACCTTGTGTTCATGATTTTCTTTAAGTGGTTAGCATACTCTGCAGAGGACTCCACAACTGCTCCAAGCATTCTGATTCAATTCATTAACATGTTCCTGTTCCCTGGTGGTGAAGCAGATGCCTTTTATACCGGACAGGTTAGTAGTTTTCTTACAAGCTTCTAAGGATCCTTTGCTCTCTGTGCAGTTATTATTTTACCAGTCGTAAAGGCTGATAGCTGGGTGTGCTCTGCCTTCCCCTGGGGAGGGGAATGTCTCAGACTAAGGGGAAATTGAAGAAACATGATCATTAAAAATTATTTTTATTCTTCTTGGGGACTTGTGGAAGTAGTTTTCTCAAACAAAAATTCCCAGTTTAGAATTGAGGTGAGAGAATAGTCGTGTTTTTATAGTTTTGCTGCTTGCTTATGTGCTGTAAATAATCCTAGTGCAGCGAGCTTCAGTAATGCCTTTATCTGGAACTCAGCCTTGAAGATGCTGGGTGTCTGTAATTCCATTTAAGAGGAGGATTAAGTGAATATTTAGGTACGTTTTCAATTTGGGTTGCATATGCACTGAAATCAGTAGTATTTTTTTAGACTTATTAAAGGAGGCTTAATTTTGATTTTGTGATCTGGTCTAATGCTGTTTCTTTCCCACCTATGAACAGGTTGGTCTACAGAGATTTTTACTGTGTGTTGCTTTTCTTTCTGTTCCTGTAATGCTTTTTGGAAAACCACTTTATTTATATTGGTTGCACAGTGGAAGTCGAGGCATTAGAACATACAGGGTAAGTATTGATATGTGCTCATACAGTTCTTCAAGATAGAAAATTCAGCTGGTGTATTGCTTATAGATAATGTCCATAATTAGGTGCTTCTACAGAACTTTGATAGTTCTTTGTTCCTCTAGTTCTCTGGTCATTTTTGCCTTGGAGAATGTTATTTTCTGTGACTACTTTAAACAAATCTAAAAATTGACACCAAGAGTCCACCAGCAAACATAATGCATTTCAATTTTGCAGCGTGGCTACAAGCTAATTCGGAAAGAAAGTGAAGAAGAGCTTTCTCTGCTGCAGCCTCATGATGTGGAGGAAGGAAGCAGTCATTCAGATAGTGGGCACGTAGAAGAGAATGGAGAGGAGGTAATTAGTTAATTTCTGATTAGTTGGTTCTTGAAAGGAAATTACAAGTAGAAAATCAAGGAGCTAATCATGGAAACTTCCAAGAAAATCAGCAGAGCCTTTACAAAGACCTTAATGCCAGTATTGCTGTAGCTAAAAAAATACAATTGTTTGCTTAAATAATTTCTTGTGTGAAGTAAACGTTGAAACTTGTGGTGGTGAATTTCATCTTGGTATCTTTGTTGGCAGCAAAAATGCATATTTAGAGTTAACTCTATTTATACGGTTATTTCTCTTTGACTAGCATTGCTGATAATTAACCCTGGTTGTAAAGATTCAAAATCGACGTTGTAAATTTGTGATGGTGGTGGAACAGGAATTTGAATGGTGTTTGTTTTTTACTGCCTCCAGTTTTTAAGAATTAGATCATATTATTTTGGAAAACAAATTGGCATACATTTTTATCTATCCACAAAGTAACTGGGGAAACTAACTGGACCAATAGACTGGTTGTCGTCGCTTCTCTCTGTAATGAATCTTAAACATAAGCTTTTTTTTCCCCTTGATATGAAATCAGTGTATGACCCTGTGATGGATTTTTTTTTTATATACCAAGATTGGCAGATGAATGTTTTTTGTTTCACTTTGCACTGCATTGTTTAAATGGATACAAATGTGTTTTTGTCTTCCAGTTTAATTTTGCAGATGTTTTTATGAATCAAGCCATTCATACCATTGAGTACTGTCTAGGATGTATTTCTAATACAGCCTCGTATCTGAGACTCTGGGCATTAAGTCTTGCACATGCACGTAAGTATTTCGTGTTGGTTTTGGTTGCTTTTTCATCTGTCCTGATTTTTAACCCTCATCTGGCCTGCTGAAATGATGCTGCTATGAAAAATGTGGGATGGGGTGGAGAGTTTCCTGCAGTTCCCACGTTCAGCAGATTCTGTAATCCTGGTTAAACCAGAATACAGGTTAGGTAGAATAGCTCACTTGATGTATGCTGTACCAACGTGAACTATGAAAGTTGTTCTTTTTCCCCAATAGAACTGTCAGAAGTTCTGTGGCAAATGGTGATGAGAGTGGGTCTTCGTGTGGACACAACCTATGGTGTCTTACTGCTAGTCCCTGTTCTAGCCTTTTTTGCTGCACTAACAGTTTTTATTCTTTTGGTCATGGAGGGGCTTTCTGCTTTTCTCCATGCTATACGACTTCACTGGTAAGTTTTAACTGCTCATTTTGTAATTACTTCACTCCAGTGTATACTGGCTGCTCTAGAAGGATTTGGGGTCAAAATACTAGGGACCCTTAAGTGAAAATTTTAACAGCCCAATCCTCTTTTAATTTATCTAATCTTGTTGAATACATGGCTTATTAGTTTGAGTATTCTTCTTGGATATTTTCAGTGAACTCATATTTTATTGGCTTATGATTTATACTGACCTCTGCCACATTGAATTAATGATCATGCAAATTATGAATTAATACATTTGATTTACACCATTTTAGCTTTTCATACTGTAGAATATTAGTAGCTGTGATAAATATTAATTTCAGTCTAACTGTGTCACTAAATGGCTGCAGTCTGTTTTGCTCAACAGAACATTTATATCTGTGAGAAGAACTTTCATTCAAGTGAGACTGCCAGCCTTTAAATATTTTAATCCTTCCTCGTCTTCACATCATGAGCTTTGCACTTTTGTATGCAGAAACTTGATCATGTTTGCAGCGCAGGGGAAAAGGCAGACGTGTATACACATAATGTAGTCAGAGTTTTATTAGTGAAGAGTTTTGTCATCGTGAGACTTTAGATTTGCAAAACTAATGCCAAAACAACTTAGTGAGGCAGAAATGAGAAATAAACTGTGACAGCAGAATTTTTAGTCTCTTGAGAAAAACTAAATCTGCCTGTATCTGCGGATGGAGCAGCTGCTCTGGAAGTCTGAGTGCTGGGATTCGGAGTGGTGGTGTTTGGTTTCTTGCGTTGCAGGCTTCTCTCCTTTGACAATTTTGGATTAATATTGGTCTTGTACCTTTTATCTTGTTTCAGGGTGGAATTTCAGTACAAATTCTATACCGGTGGAGGCTACAAGTTTACGCCTTTCTCTTTTCAGCACATTTCTTTACATTTTAATAAAGATGATATAGCATAGCTCGGTTGCTCTCAGCAAAGTGTTTGGGATTCTCTGTTCTTGTAGGACAAAGTGTTTCTTACCCATTGCCTTATACCACAGCCAAAAACTGTCATATATACCTCTCACGGAAATACACAGCAGATCTGGAGCTTAGAAACTATACATTTTCCTTAATAAACTAATATTGTAAATTAATTTTCTCACAGATTGTTACCACATGTTCTAAAATCACCACGTTTCCTTTTGTTAAAGCTGTTTATTTTCTCAAACGATTAAGATCACACTGAACATTAATTACTCTGCTATCCTCTACTTCAGCAAGCCCCCATCTCGTGTACTTTGGAACTCAGAAGCAGCGTCAGTTTTCAGTATTTATCCCGGCGGCATCCCAGAACACGAACTTGCACACAGCACTGCATCACACCCATTCCCAATAAAGCCCCTTTGGCGCTGTTCCCCTCGCTTCCTGCGGAGCCCCTTAACGCCCCGCGCCACACAGCCGCTCCTCCCGCCGCCCGCTCGAGGCGCTGCGCGTGGCGACCGTTAGGCGGCGCTGCGAGGCGGCGGTCGGCAGGACGGCGGCCGTCGCTCCTCTGGGAGCTGTTGCTGTGGCGACCGGGCGGCGTCTGTCGGCGGCTGCCGCCATGAACCTGGGCGACGTGCGGGTGCGGTGGTTGCGGGATCGAGCGCTCGCTGCTTTAGGGTTGACCGACGCGAAGCCTTTCGAGGAGCTGCTAAGCCGCGACGGCGGCGAGGCCGGGAGGGCCGTGCTGCGCTTCTTCAACGGCGGTGCTGAGAACGATGAGGATGTGACGGCCGTGCTGCTGCTGCTGCGGGCCGAGCGGCGCCCCCACGAGGGCGGGGAGGCAGCGGGTGAGGCCGCCCTGCAGCCTGCGGGGCCCTCGATCCCCGCAAGCGCTTCCTGTGGTCCTCTCGCCACGTTCCCGTTTTCTCCTCTCACGGGCTGCTCTGTGTCCCATCTCCCAGCCCTGTTACTTCTCTCTTCACCCCTTTCCGCGTCCCCATCTCCCTTGAGCTGCATCCCATCCCCTTGTGCCCTGCTCACCTCTTCTATTTGCAGGCCCTTTCTCCTCCTCTCCAGCAGTCTTGGAGTGATTTGCACCATCACTGTTATGGGGTGGTTCTGTCTTGCTTTCCTGATTTGTGTGTGTGTGTGTGCAGACACAGGCGGTACACGCGAGTTTGGAGATGAGGAGGAGGAAGAAGGCTCTGATAATTCATTTTCTGAGCAGCTGGCTGAGGTGGCCTCCTCTGTGGCATTGGAAGGAAGTAGGTGATATTAGGAGGAAGCTTTTCACACAGAGAGTGGTGACTCACTGTACCAGGTTGCCCAAGAAGGTTGTGGATGCCCCATCCCTGGAGGCATTCATGAGCAGGCTGGATGTGGCTCTGGGCAGCCTGGTCTGGTGGTTGGCAACCCTGGACATAGCAGGGGGTTGAAACTGGGTTGTCATTGTGGTCCTTTTCAATCCAAGCCATTTTATGATACTATTATTTGAGCAGCCAAAGCATGCAGGTTTCAGGTCTTTCTGCTGCAGGGGTTTGGTGTGGCTCTTCCATGCGGCCCTCAGAGCAGATCCAGCAAAGCACTTGTAACATCAGCAGCTTCTAATGCCTGGAAAGCAGATCTGATTTTGTGAGTGGGGTCATAGTTAGAGGATCGCAGAAGCAAAGAGTCATGATCTGCTTTTTTATACCATTTTATACTATATTTTATTGAGGCAATTGGGATAAGGCAACAGAGAAACTCCAGGGGAATTAAGGAATTACACTTGGGAGATGATGACAGGGCAGGGTCCCCAGCTGAAGTGCTTTTACACCAATGCAGACAGCTTGGGAAACAAACAGGAGGAGCTAGAAGCCATCATGCTACTTGAAAATCACCATGTAGTTGCAGTCAGAAACCTGGTGGGTTAATTCCCATGACTGGAATCTGGCTGTTGATGGCTACAAGTTGTGCAGAAGACACAGGCAAGGAAGGGTGGAATTAGGTGTTGCCCTCTACGTCAATGAAGGAGTAGAGTGTGAAGAACTTTCCCTGAAGAATGGCTTTCAGTGAGCAAACTGAAAGCACGTGGGTGAGAGTTAAAGACCGAGGCAATGAAGGGAACCTTGTAGTTGGTGTCTACTGCAGGCTGCCTGATCAAGTGGAGCCTCTTGAGGAAGTCTTCTTCAGCTATTGGAGGCATTGTGATTGCAGGCTGTTGTCCTGCTGGGGGACTTCAACCACCCTGACATCTGCTGAAAAAGTAGCACAGCGAGCTGTAGGTGATCCAGGAGACTTTTTTAGCCAAGGAATAGAAAGCCCTAGCAACAGAGATGCAGTATTGGACCTGTTGCCCACCAGCACAAGCAAACTGATTGGTGACATCAGGATTGAAGGCTGCCTGGGCTGTAGCCCAGAGTGTTCTAATTGAAACCCAGTTATATGTAGGATGTAATATGGTTTCTTCTGTTATTAGGTTTCAGTCCTAATATGGGCAATAGTGCTGTCCTATAGGGGAAACGTACAGATGGTTGGTTGTTGAAATGTGGTGATGAAGAAGGAAGAAAATGCTCAAATCAGTAGATTCAGAAGGAAATTGGAAGGATCTATCGTGTGTGCTTAGAATACCTGTACTTTAAGAGTACTTTGTGTTGTTTTTTCTTAGACATGATTCAGAAAAGCAAAACATCCGATCTGGAATCTTCAGATGATAGAAGTGTTTCAGGTCATGGGTCAGCTCTCCCTACTGAGTCTGCATTGGGTGAAGTGGAGCAAAGATTTGCAACGGAACACACTACGCAGGTGTGCTGCATTTCATTCTGATCCTTTGGGGTATGAAGATACAAGCTTTCTGATGCAAATGTTCCAGTAAAGTTATGGAGTGCAGTGCAAACCAAGTATTTAGAGCAGAACAGAACATCTTACTATAAAACAATTTTCATTTGAAAGCACTGTCCTGAGATGTCTGCCACAGCCTCTGAAATTGACAAGAAATTACAAAGATAATCTACTGGGTAAAACAAGATGTTTTTAGTGAGGAAATAAAGTAGTGAGTTACTCAGGTACCCTATTAGCTATTCCCAGAGTTGCTTTTAATAGAAAAGTTGCAGTTACAGTAACTGCAAAATAAGGACGTTGTGGGAGGAGCAAGCAGGGGACAGATGCTTTTGTACCTCGAGGCTTTTACCTCACTAGGCAGCTGAAATGGAGTCTTGGGTATCTACTAAACTTAGTTTATGATTGAATTGCAGTGGAAGGAGATGAAATGCTTGCACATTCCCAGACAGGCACTATGGTGGGCATTTAAGTGTGTTCCAGTTTCTTGTATTTCAGGCCCAAATGCTCTTGGTCTGGAAATTAACATTTAGAAAGCTGATTATTTTTACTGTTAGCCAAGCTATTTATTTTAACATTTTATTTTTTATACCAGTCATTTACCTGGACAGCAATATGGAGGGTTGTTGTTAAACTAATCATTCTATCCCTTTGTTCACAGAAGGCAAAAATTTTGTTGCTGTTAAGAAACATGTCAGCAAATAGCAAATCATTCTTTCTTTATATTCTCTATTTCAGATAACAGAACAGAAAGCTGACGAGGTGTATTTCTATGTGGCTCTTGATGAAATTCCTGAAGAATTTGTATCAGATGCTACTGTATATTTTTTGAGAGACCCCAAAGGTATTTGTCCTGAATAACTGAAGTTCAGCATTTCCAGTCTTTGCATTAATCACAGAACCACTCAGGTCAGAAAAGGTCTTCAGGATTATCAGATGCAACCATTCATCTGACCTGCTGAGTGCAGTCACTAAGCCATGTCTTTTAGTCCATGTCCTCCTGTATCTTAAACATCTCTGGGGATGGAGATTCCACCACTTTCCTCGGCCACCTCTCCCAATGCTTGACCACCTTCTTTGAGAAAAAATTCTTCCTCTTATTTGAACTAAACCTCCCCTGGTGCAATTTAAGACTATTTCCTTGTATCCTATCACTTGTCACCCGAGAAAAAGAGACCAATACCCTCCTTGCAGCAATTCCTTTCAGGGAGTTGTAGAGAGCAGTGAGGTCTCCTCTCAGCCTCCTTTTCTCCAGAGTGAACAACCCCAGGTCTCTTGGCTGCTCGCTGTAAATCTTGTTTTCTATGAACCACTTGAGCAATGGTTCATACTGAGGAAAGCTGATAGTGATTGGGATTCAGGTTATGCCCACCCAGCCTGATTAACTGGCATTAATGCTCTCAGACTAGAGCCAGGATTCAGGAACACTATTCATATTAAATTTATGGAAAACATGTTTTCCACATTTTACCAACAGGGATGAAGCTTTCGTGCTATTCTTGGGGGAGCACAGGAGGTTTAGTTATAGTAGCTGCTAGAGCTCTGTGAAGTGTGTTGACAGTGAGGAGCTGAATGTGAAAATTAGACCACAGGGTGGTGATAAACACAACTTGGGTATCAAACTTCCTGACCTGACTTAAATTCTGATACACAACAGGAACATCTGAAATAGAAGTTCTATTTTGATAGTTCAATCATTTAACATAAAACTGATGACTGGTACTGATCACGGTCAGACCTTGGGATCTAGCTCCATGCCGATGGGAAACAGCAAACAGGTATTGCCATATTTCTGGGAGCAATCAGCTGCCTGTTATCTGAGCCTTAGTGCCAGCCACTCACCCCAGCATAAACATGGATTCGCTGAGCAGCAGCATTCACAGTTTGAAGCTGCAAAGTTTTTGTTATGTGACTATTTCCTATAGAAATAGGAAATGTGAGAAGAAAAAAAGAAGTAAACTATGATAATGTTATCTAGCTGTTTTATATCAATTCTGTAGAATGTTTTCCTGGTCTGCCTACAGAAGTTTAAATCATGGCCACTTTTTGGTTTGAACAGAAAACTGTTCACTGTAAGGCTGGGTTATAAAGAGTCACTTTTCTACCCTTTTTGAAAAGCCATCTACAATATTAAACACAGCAGTAGTTTTGAAAGTGGCTTGCACAAAACCTAGTTTATTACAAAGACAGTTTGGTGTTGTTGGAGTTTAATATGGGTAAGAATTTATGCAATTGTGTTAATAATTACTTCTTGTACCAAATAATTAGATCTGTGCTGATTCTTTGTATGCTGTTTAGAAGCAGTTACTGAACCTAATGACCTGACTGAAGCTGATGTGGTTCTTCCTAAAGTGATTGAGTTTGGTTTACTGACTGATGATGCTCTTTTGATGCTAAAAAATATCTTCTCAAAGGTAAATATTACTGCTTTTATGTATGGAGTGTTCAGTGTTTCTGTGAGTGATTTGCCTGCTTAGTATTCTGCTGACTACATGGACTAAGTGTATGAAATGCTAATATTTCATGACTGACCTTCATATGCCAAAATGAAGTTTATGCTAATACTTAGAAGATTTTGGGAAACAAAATATCACACAAGTATGGAGACGGTCATTATTTAACTGAATTGTCTGGGCCTATCTAAGAAACATTTAAGAATGTGATATTAAGTATTTTTTATTTTTGTGCTGATAGACTTTTGTAAAAGCATACCAACTTCATCCCCCTGCCCCCCAAATGTAGGCCATCTAATTTATGGTGCACGTCTGAATTATAGGAATTTTTGCCTGCTGTCTCCTCTGATCAGCAGGCTGGAGAAGTTTCCTTTGCAGAAAAGGAAGTGCAGCCTGTGGAATACCATGATATTCAGATAAGGAATGATCATGTGAACATGCAGAGATTCTTAAGCACTTCTCATCCAACTCTACAGCAAACTGAAGGCGAGTATTTTACCTATGCTAGTGCTGTGTTGTTCAGACTGCAAGACAATAAAAATAGGTTCACCTAGGAATGGCTCTGCTTGGAATAACAAATACATACAGTTTCTGGGGAAGCTGCAGATCTGACCAAAGTTTCTCTTGCTGGTAACAGTAGTATTTTACTGCTCTGAAGCATAGCAGTCAGTATGGGGAAACGGACTAATTCCGTGACATTCTGTCAGCCTGGAGTAAGAATAGGAGAGAAAGTCAGCATGCCACATTTATTCCCACTGCTCAGAAGACTCTGTCCATTGCTGGATACAGAAAGTGGAAGACCAAATGAGGCTTTCACGTGTGGTTTAGCATCTCCTCTCTGACATGGGTTAGCGTACCTGCCATTGAGGAAAATAGAATGGCGTATACTAGGAAGACTAATAATTTTATTCAGCAAAGCCCTAATCCTGATTCTTAATGGTTAGTGAATGGATCGAGGGGTGAAAGGTCAGAGCTTTAAGTTATTTCTATGACTGCATCTCAGTATTGTGTTAACTACAGAGCAACTGATGCCTTTTGCCATATTGTCAAACAGAGAGCAGGCAGTAAGCTGCCTACACTCAAGTAGCTGATAAAATGGAAAGTGTGAGCCATTTAGTGATGTTACTTTAATGATGCTGGTGGAACAAGACAGTTAATTTTAAGTGCCTTTGCTCCTGACAGAAGAGATTAAACTGGACATGCCAACTGTAAATCTAGATGGAGAAGTGAGTGTTCTCGCTGCAGTTCCAGAAATGGTTGAAGCTCTTGAAAGTTGTGCAATGACCTGGCAAAAACTAATATCCACAGCTCTAGAGGAACAACTGAAAAAGGTTCCACAGGTAATGTCTCCATTAAACCAAGCTTCTTTACTCCCAGAAATTCCACAAGAGTCTCTCTGAATGATTTGTGCTCTGTTTTAATGTCTTTGTGTTTGATTGTTGGAAAGACTATTTACTAATTGAAGAAAAGTAGGATAAAGGTAGTGGGGAATGTGATTCTGGGAAGCAGAAAATAAAGCAATTCTGTGTAGGTCCTGTCCACCTAGGAAACTGTGGACAGCTAAGGCACTTTTGTTAGTTGCATTCTTACTTCTAAAATCAGTGAGATAGCCATGAAATATTAAAAAATACAATGATTAAAGTGTATATATACATATATATGAAACTATATTTTCCCTTGAAAAGTCATCTTTCAAACAAAATGAAATCCATTTGCAATGTTCTCATTCTGCAAACACACATACAGTTATACATTTAAATATGAGATATTACATGTCTATGAAGTTATTTGTGCGTATATCTGCAAGCATGGCATCCTCAAATCCAGGGTACACTCCCCATGAGCAGTTCCTCTCTGCTTGTGTAAAACTTATGAATTCAGAGTTTATTCTGTCTTCTTTTCATGGTTGAATGACATCTGAGTTTTCTCGGTTTACTTATTGAAAAAAAGAACAAATGTAAAGCTGTTTATAGGATCTCACCCTTAATGGTAATTTGGAATTCTTATTTTACTCCACCTAACTTGTAGGGCAGTGGTCCACTTGCAGAAATTGACCTCTGGTGTGTAAGAAATGCTGTTTTAAGTCATCTTAATGAACAGACAAAGCTTCCAGAAGTGGAAAGAGTCTTGGCAGTACTGCAGGAAGCTGAGTCTGAGTGTGTCAGAGATTTACATGTAATCTTCAATGACCTCAGAGAACACTGTGTGGAAGCTCTTGATAATGTTAGATTTCTTTCAACTCTGGAACACCATTTGAAGGTATGTGATCTTAAGAAAACTCTTTGCAGATCTGCACATCTTTAGCCATCTCTGTAGTTTAGTCATCAGGATGTTTCCTTGACTGAGTTATTCATTTACTAACGTGATGGATTTTCTTCTTAACTGTAGAATGAATATTGGTTTATAAAATGTGTATCTGTATTTTCATGACAGCTTACTCACAGTACTTATATATTTAACAGAATCTAACGCATGGCACTGGGTTTAATGTTGTCTTGGATACAATTCCTTCGCTGATGAATGCTCTGAGAATGGTGTGGATTATGTCACGGCATTACAACACAGATGAAAGGATGGTGCCCCTGATGGAAAGAATTGCATGGGAAATTTCAAATCGAGTGTGCAAAGTTGTGGATTTACATACACTATTTAAGTACGTACTGGATTCCTACTTTCCTGGTCTGTATTTTTTTAAAGCTTTACTTGTTTTATGGAAAGTGTAGTAGATAACACTTGCATCAAATATGCTTCAGTGTTTATCTCAAGTTCTATTAGAAGGTCAATTAAAAGTCAATTTATGTTGTAGTTTTCATAAATTGCCAAACTGGTCCTGACAAAACAGGTGTTTGTCCTCTTTTCTCTTGGGAGGATGAAAATCAATAAACACCCTGCAATTACCATGGTACAGAGGTGGCAAAAATACAATTAATCAGTCTAGAAATAATACCTCCTTTCAAAATTGGTCCCACTGAAAATTAAGATATAGCAGTTGAAAGTTTAATTTAGATCTAATTAGAAGCTGCTAAACCAGGGTATATTAATCAGCTGAGATATCATTTAATACCTATAATCTTTTTATCTGTACTATATTAATTCTTTTGATTTAATTAATAGAGAAGATAGAGCTGCTGCGAAAAAGAAAATAGCAGAGGCCAAAAGTACTCTTGAACAGTGGAAGAAATCTTATTTGGCTGTTCGTGCCCAGATTGAAGCATCAGGAAGAGAGCAACACTGGGAATTTGACCGAAAACTTTTATTTGGAAAAACAGATTATATGACTTCAGTTTGTCAAGACCTGTATGATATTTTGCAGGTAGTTGTATAGAGAATAATTATATAGGATGATTGTGTCATCAGTGTTTTCTTATGTAGAGGAGATTCTTTTATTACTGTAGTTGTTGAGATGCTAATAGCCTTTAGCTGTTAGTTTTTTCCTGTGTGTGTTTAAGCTCAGGACCTGAGCAATGATTTTGATTTTAACAATGATGCTCTTAACGCTGGAGATGAAATAAATCTTTTCAAGTATTTGTTAAGGGAAGGCATTGCTGTGTACAGTACTGCTGTTAGCATACAGACTTGTAATAATTGTTTGACAGATTTGCAATTTTCATGGCTTGTGGTGTCATTTTGGATGGACTAGTCATTTACGTACGCCATAGTATAAAATTTGACTGTAAAAATTGACATAAATCAGTGTAACAATTGCAAGATAACATACATGAACAGATGCTCTGTTTATCCTCCTTAAGAGGATAACTAGAACTATTTGTTGTCCATTAGTAGTCAGGTGCCATGTAGCCTGTGTATATAAAAACCCTTGTGAAATAAAAACTAATAATAGCTGAGTATTTTTTGTTTTGACAGCTGCAGTTTTGGGCCTCTAAGGCTGTTTTTCTTAAAGGTACTTAGTGTATTGTATAGGAGTATACAAAATGTAAATCCTAAACAAGAATGGATCGTTCTCTGGTGTAAAATTATTTAAAAGGAAATAATAACAGAGAAGTGTTAAATGTCAGTAAAAGAAACCAACAACCCATTAAAAATAAAGTTTTTTTATTTGTTCTTCTGACTTAACAGGTCACTGAAGAGTTTTACAATGTATTTTGTTCTGAGCTGAAAGCTGTCACAGGTGATCCAAAGCACATTGATCATCTTCTGAGAAGAGTAGATGAACTAACTAGTCCAATGGAAGAACTGGCTTTTGATCCTTTTAGCCTTGAAAGTGCACATGATTGGAAATTAATTATGGAGGAATTTAAAGCAGAAGTTTCAGTAAGTATCATGTATGGTGATTTGTTTCCCCCTTATTCCTTTCTATATAAAAATTCCTTCTAGAATGTCAATATTTTCATTTAAAGAAAATGTTTGATACATATATATATATATGAACAAATATGTAAATGAAAATGGGAGGTATTCAACCATTTTTTTTAGTCAGTACTTTATTTGCAAGTTCTTTTTGTTTATAGTTTCCCTTTATCTTGCAAACTGATAAAACATGCTTTGTGTTCATTGGCAAAAATCACTACAGCATGACTGGAGGGTTGGTGTGACCTCCCTGTGCCCATACACTGCGTATCTTAATCACGTTCCACAAAGAAGTCAAACTCTTTTGGATGCATTTATCCCTTTGTCCCTCAGATAATGAAAGGTCTTTCACAAATGAAAGATGTTACAGTGTTTTTGTGACTCCTATACCTGCCCAGCAACATAGGTTTAATATTAGTTTTCTGTTTCTTACTGGAAAGCCATCAGTTTGCAGGCCATTTATAAGTCAAAAGAACAGTAAAAATATGCCTTACAACTGTTACAAAAAGGTATTTTTATTATGCCTTCCTTACATGGTTTCATAAGATAAAGGTCTAAGGAACAGGATTTCTTGCCTTGTTTCCATTTAGATTATTGAAGAAGATGCCAAAAACTTTATTGATAAATCTTTTAAGACTCTTCGATCAGCAGAAGCTGCATTTGACATGCTGTTGAACTTCAAAAACACTCGCTGTCGTGAAACAATTAATAGGCAGCTGATGATGAAGTTCAATGACATATTGGACCAATACTGTAAAGAGGTATTTAATTTAGGATTTATTTAGTTATGTATGAAGTTCTTTATTGAAAATAATAAATCTGTATATCACTCTGCATATCTCAACAGAAGTATAGTGTCATTTACCATCTGAAAGACTGACAGGTTTTAAAGAAGTAAGAATTCTTCCTGTTTTTGAACCTGCATGCAAGATAGTATAGTTTATTTGCTGAAATGATGTACATATCAGAATATGTGTAGCACAGTATGGGAAGTGAAGGATGTTTGTCTGTACTGTGAGGCTTGTGGCTGTTCCTTTACCTTGTGAGCAGCAGTACAACAGTAGTCCTTCCTGAAAAAAGCTATCTTTTAGCTTTCTGGTGCCGGACACAACTATGTGGCATGACCAAAATGTGCCTGAGATTAATAGTGAAGGCAGAAATAATTTCTCAGTTCTGTGCAAATAACTTCTGTGAGGCATATACATTGAAAAGCCTTTGCTATCACAGCATTTATCTGGATGTTTCCAATAAATGTACAAGGACACCAAGTTTTGCAATAAAATGTAGTCTCACAAAGAACACAAAGACAACATAGCAGTTCCATGGGATACAGAAAGGAAAACGTTCTCTGTAATGCAATTGATACAACAGCAAAGAGACTAATGAGGAATAAAAAATCATTGGTTTTGTCCTGTTGCTGGAATGAGCTTCAGAGTTTGTGTTTTGTACCAAGCTGGATACCGACCATGGAGCAGCAAATAGAGAAATTATTCTTAACAGTGATTCTTTGATTCTCCTCTAGGTTGAAAATGTTAGACAAATCTTTGTTCAAAACCTCACGGATCCACCCTTGTTCAAGAATCATCCTCCACTGGCTGGAGCAATATACTGGGCCCGATCGCTCTTCTATCGCATCAAACACACTATTGTTCGGTTTCGGGAAGTAGAGGGGCTGCTTGCTAGTGAACGTGGAAAAGAAGTATGTTGGTTTCTTTGCTGTTTAATGAAGGAAGAAATACTTTCTTCACAACTTTCTCCTAGGGATGAGAAAATGCTCTTACGTGAACAAAGTTTGAAGAACGTATTTGCCTGTAGTGATCCATGTTATGCATGAAAATTTGATTGGAAACCTTTCCACTGTTTCTCAGAGAGATTGTGACAGAATCAATGACAGAACTCAAAAACCTAAATTCTTCATTGTCTGCATTAATGACAAGGCATTACTTGCCCTCTCATTTAATAACGATTGGAAACAAATCTTATTAAGTCAGGATAGTGAAACATTTTTCTTGATCTTTAAGATGATTAAGAGTTTTCCTTTCTAGGTAAAGCAAATGTATCTTAAAGTGGCCAGGAGGATGAAAGAGTATGAAGATCAGAAATATAATCAATGGAGAGATGAGACAGAAAAGATGCTCCCACTCTTACTGGAAAAAACTCTGCTGATAGTCATTACTGGTGGGTCAGCAACCCATGTTAGTCTAGAGACTTTTGATCAGGTAAGAGATAGAAATATAATATACTAGGCTTCTCTGCGAGAAAGAATTGAAATCTATCTGATGGTCAGTGGGATTTGTCTGAGAGTGATGTTTTGAAGAGGAATGCTGTTTTTTAAAGGAAAATTTTAAAAGGTCTGAACTCAATGTTTTTTGAGATCCTTCATAGGACCTCAGTTGCTGAATGTCCTGGCTGGTGGATGCATGAATGCTGTTTCTGTCTATTTTCTCCTGTACTGTATTTCCTATTAATCCTAGGTATTTGTGCAATATTCTAGGGACATTACAACAAAACTTGGGACTGAAGTTAGGTAGTGGTTGATTCCCAGCAGAGACTATTCAGAACCCTGTTTAATAAATCTTTCATTTGACTGTGAGCTTCTACTTGGATTTCTGGATAACTGATTGCAGCACTACACAAAAAGGTTTTTGAAAACAGAATGCTGAGATGGCTATCAAATATTAAAGGCATTTTTACCAGCTCTGAATGTCAGCCATACTGTCTGACTTTTACCTACCATCTTATCAAATGTCCCCAAAAGTTAACATTTTCCTTGCATTGGAACTGTCTGGTGGTGATTTTCTGATTTCTGCTGCTTTCTTGTGTTGTAGACCTCAGTAACAGAGGAGCCTGTCACCACAGAGAAAAGTGTCCAATTCCTAGTGAATTTTTCTCCCAGACTCCAAGAGATTATCACTGAAACAAAGTACATGGAGCAACTGGGGTTTCCAGTCCCAGAAATAGCAAGAAATGTGGCACTACAGGAAGACAGATATCTTAGGTAAGGCTTTAACTGCTTGCATACACACTTGCATCAACATTTCAAGTGATTTCACTGCAGAGTGTGCCCTGAGTCCTCACATTTTGGGAATAGGAGAGCTCTTACTTCTTTGAAATACATAATTGCTAATGGCAATGGCACACTAACAGTCTGTCCTCTGGTGCTGTCTACATCCTTCACCCTGTAAGACTGTGTTTTACAAATGAATATGAGAAGAAAATCTGAAGGAAAAACAAAGCAAGAAAGTAGGTTGTTTTTGTTTGTTTTTGCCATGAATTGTTAATCTAATGTAAATTTCAGTTGACATTTGAACTTGCTGCTGCTTTCTTGTGGCATTGAATAAGTCACTTTTGCCCAAATTATCACAGGCGTTTAGGCATGGAAAAATGCCAAGAAGAGCCCTAACTGGACTTTAAAATTCATTTACTTTATTCCTTTGTGTGCTTCAGGCTGAGGCTGTGTTAAACACTTTGTTGTTTACCAGGAGAGTTTGGTCTAGCTGCTACTGGAATCATGTGGGACTTTTCTTTTGTTTTTGATAGGAAGTGAACTGCATACATGATCAATACATATTCCATAGTTGTTCCTGCAGATTTTTATGTTCAAGATGATGTTTCCAGTGTGCAATTTTTATATATTTTTGTTGCTGTTACTGTGTTTTACACTTACTAGGTATGCAGATGGATTAAAACACATGCTGGATGACTATCACAATGTAGTAGGAACATTGAATGAAGCAGAAACCAAACTTCTTGATGACCATATTCAGGAACTCTGGAAAGTGTTCAAAGTAGGGCAAAGAAGACTCAACTGGAACTCCTTAGGTAACGGTGAACCTATTTAAAAATGGCCTTAGATACTGATTTTCAGTTTAAAAAGTCTCTTCAATTCCACACTCCATTTGATATGCCAGATGAAATCAATATATTCCTAAATAGTACATGCTATTGCAATGGTCCAATAATACATTAGGCAGGGTCTGATCCAGAAGGATATTTCTTATGTTTTCATTAAATGTAAAACGTTAAGTGGAAATGGATGTAGATTCTTAAGTCTGGAAGGGAACTGGATGAAGGATTAGATGTGAAAACATTTATTCTATCTGCAGAGTATTTTTTTTTTATTTCTGACACATCTGGTTGTGATAATTTTGATTGTTGAAACATTGATGAAAGTTTTGGTAAAAGAAAGAAAGCAAATGATTATGATTTATTTCAAGGTATTGCTGACTTTATAGTCCGATGTAAACAAGCCATCAGGAAGTTTGAAATCCTCATCCATCAGATTCATGCGAATTCTGGAGACATAAACAACAACCTTCTGCAAATAGCATCAACAAATCTTTTCAAATTTCCACTTTCAGAAAGTGCTGATGTGCTTCCCAGTAAGTCTACATACTCTCATTTCTGAGAGATGCTCTGTGATGTTTTACTTTGTTCTATCTGCATTTTTTGGATGCTAAGATAAAACCATCTAACAGTTCCAGCAGTACTTACAGTGGTATTTCATGCTGTAACACAGGATGCACAAGCAGAACTTCAGTAACCTAAAGCTGACAGTGTTGATGAGAAGAACTTAGGGATAATTATACAAATAGATCAGTATCTACTTGCATTTGATGACTTTCCTCATAGCTTCCCCTTTATTTTCCTCTTCCTTATATGCAGTAATGTAATCTTAGAGCTGCAAACTGCTTTGAGCGCCAGCTCAACTGAGATCTTTTCTTCAAGGGGAAATTGCACTGAGGTGATTGTCTTCCATGCATCCCTATCACTCCAGTGACAAAGTATGAATGATGAAGTAAGACTCTTCAGCAGGATCTGTTGTGTCAGGACAAGGAGAAACGGTTTCAAACTAAAAAGCTGAGATTTAGATGAGGTAAAAGGAAAAAGTTGTTTATGATAAGGGTTGTGAAGCCCTGGAAGAAGTTGCCCAGAGATGTGGTGGATGCCCTGGAGATGTTCAGGCTCTGAGCACCTGGCTGAGCTGTAGATGTTACTGTACGTTGCAGAGGAGCCGGACTGGGTGACATCTAAAGGTCCTTTCCAACTCAGATGATTCTGTGATTTCTGACTGTTATGGAGGTTACTTTCACATCTATTAATTGCTGTTGAATAACTGAACCCATATAAAATAGGAGACTGAAAAATTAATAAATTAGTGTTATTAAATGAAGAAATTTTATTAGTATACAAGACCAATTTCATGTTCACAAATAAAGCCCAGCAAATTATTCCAGTGTTGAAGGCTGTTAAGTCTTTTGCAATTCTTAACATTATTTTTTGTAATATTTTGCAGATGTGAAAGAATTTTTTGAGTATGTAAAATGTGAAAGAACAAAAGATACAGATCACATGGTTAGAATGTATACTGCCATTCCACAACTGTTAGCACAGCTGGAAGGACTTGTCAATATGAAGAGTGGCAAATCTTCAAAATTGGCTTCCTATTATGCATATTGGGAAAATAGGATTTATCAGATGCTGTTACAGTTAATTCTGAAGTAAGTTAATACAATTTTTAGTCTTTCCTCCTTAGGTTTTTCTCAATATGTTATTGTAAACTCGTGTAATGATACTCTGTTTGAACACCTTGTATTTGTTGTATTTGTACTGCTTTTGTGCAAAGAGTGCAGAACTGCTAAGAAGGTAGAAGAGAGACCTGAATTCTGAGAAAATGGGTATTGGTTTTGTCAGCAGGAGACAGAAATAATGTACGTTTTCTGCAGGGTGTGGAGCTGCATATCTCTGCTTTATTTCTAAAATCAAAACCTTGTGTTACTGAAGAATGCAGTTTTGTAAATTTGCTGTCTGGCTGCCCAGTGCATCCCTGTAAAACAGGGACCAGCAGTATGAGAACAATGGTTTGTTGGATTATGCTTTACCTGGAGCAAAGGAGGTTCCTCTAGCAAAATATTAGAAGGGCTTTTTACAGCATCTCTCCCTCTCGTGGTCCACATCTTTAAACTGTAGTCTTAGGATCCTTTTGCACTGAGATATCCCCATTCATTCCTTTCAGTAACTTATTTTAGTTAGCCAAGGTTTTGCATTACATCAGTCTTAGTGGGACAGTTTTGCTCAGATACACATCAGTGTTTCCAGCTGAAATAACTGTTAGCTGACTTTGGACAGATACGCTCACATATCTGAATGCATACCTCATAATTGCAGTCTCTCTTGAGCTGCTTATTGCTATCTTTGACACGATTTTTTTTCTTTCCCAGGAATTTGCAAGCTTTTAATGCAGCTGTTCTTGCAAATGTGCCACTGTTCCAAATAGAAGCTGTTTTGTCTCCTCCAAAAATAATCTTGCAACCCAATGCCAGTGAAATCGACAAAATGACAGCGCAATGTATCCAAGACTGTGTTGAGGTCACAAAGGTGATATTCCATTAAGATTTACTTGTTGTCATATTTTGCCTGTGATTGTACCGAATTTATCTCACTTTACTTTTGGGCAAGAGTTAATGTCAAAGGGAAGATTCATAATGACTTAGTGTGAAATAAAAATACCCAGTACATTGTTCTAATTTTACAGACCATCCTAATTTTGCAAACTGATAACACAGGAAGGAAATCACGTGATTTTCTATCCCTGTGGTCTTTCCAGTGGAGATCTAAAAAAATAGACTAAATAGTGCATGGAAAGATTTTATTAGGATGAAATTAACTCTTCCCTCAACTGTTTGGGAAAATATAACCCAGGGGTATACAATCTTTGGGCTTGGCATGGCTGCTCTGAGCAAAGAGGTATTGTTTTGGGCCACATAAAAAATGTATGACGTGGTTAATGTATATAAGTGACAAAATTTCTCCTATTTTTTAATATTCTTTATTAAAGCATAGAAAAAGAGGGCAACAAAAACATAAAACTAGCAGGTTGAACATGTATGAAATAACTTCATGCTGTCAGAATAATAGTTGATTCAAGAAATCATTCACATTACTTTGTACACAGTGTCCTAAATAATGATGACTTATTTGACTGATGTGACTCTCTACAAGGTAATTACTTTTCAAACTTGTCTTGAAAACTCTAGCATTTTGTGCGGTGGATGCATGGCACGTGCATTGAATGCCCTCCTCAGCGTCTTACAGATGATGAAATGATCACATTCAGCTTTTACAGTGACATCTCCCAGAACCCTCTGATAACTGAGCAGGCTGCTCTCATCACTCAGAATGTCCACAGAGTCCTGACTTCTCTCAGCACGTATTTGAACCATTGGGAGAGATACTGTTTTCTGTGGACTGTGGACAAAGACATGGCCATAAAGAAGTTAGCTGCTGAAAAGCCTTCCTATGTCACCTTTGATGAAAAGCTGCAGTTCTATATGAAGATAGCTCAAGAAGTCACTCAACAACCCTTAATAAAAGATGAACAATTTATCAGGCTTTATATGAGTACTTTAGTTTCTGCAGTGGAGGATAAAGCTAAAGACTGGATGATTTCCCTTGGACAGTTGCTTAATGAGTTTGCAAGAAAAGAACTCTTCAGTCTTCAGGAGGAGATCGAGGTAGGTGTTTCCTGTTCTTGTTGTCAGATGCAGCTTTCACTGGTTAGTAGGTGACCATTTGAACCACTCTGAATTAGTTTGAGTGATATGCTGTAATATGCCATACGTATAGAGATGAGCTAGGAAACAAAAGAGAACAGAAATGTGCAAAAAAAGAGGCTTTCTCAGTCCTGTGTTTGTGAATGCTTCATGTAAGTAATTCTGAAATTCCTTTTAAACCACCTTTCACAACTTCATTTTTGGTGTAACAAAAACATTTATGTTTTTACGGTATTTACTTTTTGTTGATTTATAAATTTTTTTGGGTATTATGTTTATCATCACATAAACTAAAAATGAAAGAGTCAGATGTCATTTGCTTGTGTTTTGTGTCTCAGTAAGAAGTGGCTAATTACTGTCCCAGTGTTGCCTCTGGAAATTACTATTTTATTCTTACAGACATTATCAGAGAATCTTAAGACACCTCCTGATTCCTTGGAAGAGCTGAAAATTGTCCTCAGTACAATTACAGCTATCAGAGGCATGTCGTTTACAGTGGAACTGAAATATTTGGACATCTGGGAGAGATACCGAACTCTTGCAATGTATGATATTCAAGTAGGTGAATGTTGTGTCTTGTCTCATAAAACATTTCAGATTTGAGCTATGCTCACAAACGCTTCCCATGTGAATGAATAATTGTTTTCCTATTAAGACATTTCATAGAATCACAGCACTGTTGAGGTTAGAAGTGACATCTGGAGATTGTCTAATGCAACCTCTGTTCTCAAAGTGGTAGCTCCATTTTGAATGGACATATTGCATGTGTTTAAATCTGATTAATAGAATCATCTATCTTGGCTTTCAAGGTTGTCAAGTCCGATTGCTGACCTAACAGTAAGGCCTTTCTGATGTCTGTTAGTGCCACCTCCACACATCTGTTAATTACCTCGGGAGATGGGAACTCCATCACTTCCCTGGGCAAGCAGTTCCAATGCCTAAGCACTCTCTATGTGAAATAATTTTCCTAATGTCCAATCTAAACTTCTCTTGGTGCAACTTGAGACTAACTTCAGTGCTGTTTCCATCTTTTGCATATTTATTATGCACACCTTTCTCACTTTCCTGTGTGTATTTATTGCTTGTGAGAGATATTACTGTTTTGTTTTAGGTGGCTAAAGAAGAGCAAGAGATGGCTGACAAGATTAAGGAAAAGTGGGAGACTCTGTTCTTTGAAGCATCAGAAGTTGATCACAACCTTGGAGGCATAAAAAGAATGTTCACAGAGGTAGTATTTGTAATTAAATTGACAAAAAAAAAAAAAAAAAAAAAAAAGAAATAGAAAGGAAAACAATTTAAACTCTGTTCTCTTTAGATTACAAAGCAACAAATCGAGGACTACACTACAAAGGTAGCAGATTTCTTCTGTAAATTCATGGCTGAGGGGCCTGGTGCTGTTGGAGAAGATCTTGATAAAGGTAAATTCCGCGTGTAAAGTGACGTCTTAACAATATATTTTTTTTTTTGAAAATTCATCAAATTTTATGTAAAACAAGAAAATTGTGTTTTCCTTAACATACAAACTGATCAACTGATCAATATGATGCTTTTAGTACTCTAATTTCTACTGACTATGTGCAAATGCTGTCTTATTTATTCCCCATAATACATTAGATTGTTTATCTAGAAAAACATCCATCCTTTTCCAGGGCTGGAACTCATGGCCATTTTTGAAAAAGAAATGGAAAAACTGGAAGAAATTCATCAGGAACTGGGCAGTGTTGAGAAACTTTTTGACTTGCCAGCTAAAGTGTATCCTGACTTAATGAAAATGCAGAATGATATGAAAGGTCTAAAGCAAGTCTATGAAATTTATGAATTACAGAAGGTAAGTGCATGCAAGCTCATGTTCAAGCACATACCACATGCAAAGGTGCAAAATAGAAGAGCTTTCATTGTCTTTTAGTTACTATGAACTCTATTCCTTTGCACGAAGTAAACTGACCTGTAATTTACCATCATTATGTCAGTTTAATGATGTTAATAGAGGAGAACAGAATGTCTCCATAGTAAACCAAACACATACATTTATGAGATAGATACAGCCACTCATTCCTCAGAAATTATTGGATGGTCTTATGTTGTGCATATCTGCTGATTATTTCTGTGGGACAACTTTTGGATGTGCAGGTGACAGCAGATATCTCAGGCTTGGTCTTAGAATTTTTAAGAAATTCTATTTTTCCAAGATTAAAATGCCCTGATCAGCCAGCAGCCAGACTGGTTGTAAAGTATGCTCTTAAGAATGATTTTCCTCTTCTCCATGTTTACTTTTGATTTATTCATTATTTGTTTTGGTTATGAATCTGCCTTGAATGTTAACCTGCCTCTTTCTCTGTTTATAAAATGTTATTGCGATCACATCCTGACTGTGGTCTCTAGATCCTGCTGTACCAGAAAACAAAGAGAAATACGTTTTTTTTTTCCTCCTGATAACCTTGTTCCCAGGCAGCTAAAGAGGAATGGTCTCGGACACTCTGGATAAACCTCAATGTGCAGTTTCTTCAGGAAGGAATTGAAGGATTTCTTAAAGCTTTTCGAAAGCTGCCCAAACAAGTCCGCAGTATGCCAGCAGCCTGTCACTTGGAAACAAAACTGAAGGCATTTAGAGACTCCATTCCTTTGTTGCTTGATTTGAAAAATGAAGCTCTAAGAGAAAGGTTTGCTTTTATTTATTTAAATAATGCAAACAAATGGAAAACATTTGTTTTCATTTTCCTGTGTCGTGGTATAGTTACTGATGCATCAATTTTATACAGGCATTGGCAAGACCTTATGGAGAGAACAGGCACAAGGTTTGAAATGACAACTGAAACGTTTACTTTGGAGAATATGTTTGCTATGGAACTTCACAGGCACTCAGATATTATCAATGAAATAGTTGGAACAGCTGTTAAGGAGCTTAGTGTTGAGAAGGTAATTTAAAAATCATAATAAAACTAAACACACATCGATGACAACAGTTTTTTTAATGTGAGATCTTGAGTGGCATGACAGTAAGTTCTGCTGTCTTCAGGGAGGTGCTGTAATGTAAATAAATCAATAGCTCTGCTAATAAGCTACAAAACAGCACAAAATCCTACCTGTCATGGCTTTCACAGCAGTGTATGGATTTTGCTGTCACAATAAGCAAGTTTGGTCTATGAAAAATGGAATTCATTTGGTCTTAATCATGATGTTTTGAAATAAACCTTTTTATAAACCAGTGCTGTGCAAAAGTTTTGTGGAGTTAATTGATTTCATTTCTGTGCTACAATTACAGTTCTCTAGGTTTTGAAGACTGAAACACATCTTTTTCTGTGCACATACAGAGTATGAAGGACATAGCAGAAACATGGGAACAGCTGAAATTTACTGTGCAAATATATTTCAAAGGCACTGAGAAGCGTGGCTTTATTCTGGGATCTGTAGATGAAATTTTAGAGATTCTTGATGACAACAGTGTCAATCTTCAGAGCATCTTGGGCAGTCGTTTCGTGGGTCCTTTCCTTTCAACTGTTCACCATTTGGAAAAAACTCTGTCATTGATTGGTGAAGTAATTGAGGTAGGGAAGAAAGTGTTGGGCTAAATTATTAACATTTATTTATAATCAGGATTTTCCTTTCTTTTTTTTTAAATCTTTGTTGGTAACATTTAATTCTTAGATCTGGATGGTGGTTCAGAGAAAATGGATGTACCTGGAGAGCATCTTTGTTGGTGGAGATATAAGATCACAGCTTTCAGAAGAAGCTGAAATATTTGACAGTGTAGACAGTATGTTCAAAAAGGCAAGTAACTGAATTGTACTGTGATTCCACAGTGCTATACATGCTCTTGAAGTACTGCTGTACACAGGAGCAAAGTCAGGTATGTGATTATGCTTGCATGGTGTGGGATACAGTCTTCTCTTTCACTTGCTTTTACAGTATCTTCATGCTCTCAGCTTTAAGAATGTGCATACTTACCTCTGTGCTCGTACAGTACTGCAGTATAGGAAACCATATTTAAAATTAATTCATTGTTGAAAGAACCTGTACTGCTTGTGCAGTCTGTTTTGTCACTAGATGTAATTTAGTGTAATTCACTGCTGTTTGTTATTTTCTAATTTTATTTCCCACGTAGATAATGGATGAAACTGCAGAAGAACCAATAATTAAAAAATCCTGTGAGGCCCCAAATCGTCTATCAGACCTCCACCATATCAATAATGTGCTGGAGAAATGTCAGAAAAGCTTGAATGATTATTTGGATTCGAAGCGAAATGCCTTCCCAAGGTTTTTCTTTATATCTGATGAAGAGCTGCTTAGTATCCTTGGCAGCAGTAACCCACTTTGTGTCCAGGAACACATGATAAAGGTACAGTGTCTGGTTTTCCGAAGTGCCCTTCACTTTTAAGTGCTTTTAAGAGCTGAATAGACCATTCTGTACATGCTGCTAAGTGTGTGCTAATATTTCCTGCGTACAAAGAACATCTTGGCAGCTTCTTCAAGAAACAAACAAATCAACCAGTTATGTAAAGAAGGTTTGAGATACAACATAATGACCTATCACTAAATAACCTTCCTGTAGCTCCTGAGAGGTCTTTACTTTCGAGGAAAAAAAAAAGTCACTTGAACCTGATCATTTGCTTTGTTTACTGTGCAGTGGGGCTGCTGGGCTGTATGCCCCAGTGTTTGTATTTGATTACTTACAGTCAGATCCATTTCTCTCTGGAGATGGTGAAAACTTCCTTTCAACATTAAGATGAGGGCTAGGTACACTTGAATCTTTCAAGCTTGATTTCTCTTATGTCAATTTCTCTGTTGGTGCATTTCAGATGTACGATAACATAGCTTCCCTGAGGTTTCAGGATGGTGATGGTGATAAGAAAATCGCCACGGCCATGATTTCAGCTGAGGGGGAGGTGATGGATTTCCGGCAGGCTGTAGCTGCAGAGGGCAGAGTGGAGAACTGGATGACAGCAGTGCTGGGAGAAATGAGACGAACAAACAGACTTCTTACTAAGGAGGCTATTTTTCGATACTGTGAAGACAGAAGCAGGTGAAACCATCAGTGTCAAAGATAATACAAGTACCTTATATGTTACTATGAACCTGTAGTGATACAGAAAAACAGAAACTTCATTTTCTAATTTAGACACAGCTTAGCCTGTATTTCTATAATGCAGAGGAGTATGGATACCTGCATATGTAGTATTTTAACCAGAAAAAATGTTTTATTTACTCTCAGTGGTTTTATAAGGCTTGAATTTTCATTTTTAGTAACGTGTGCACAATTTTTCGTATTATAAATTCTGTCTTGTCATTGTTACGCATGGCATAGGTTGTTTTCCATGAGAGTATTTCCTAGGCTTTAGAAATAATACCTCACACCTTGATTTTATTCGTCTTTATAAAGTTTTGGTCATGTTGTCGTTGTAGAAATAGGAGGAACTTCCTATTTTTTGTTGTGATCATTTACTTAAACAGTAACTCAGACTCCCATACTGTATTTCCCATAGAGTTGATTGGATGTTACTCTACCAAGGCATGATGGTGCTGGCTGCCAATCAGGTGTGGTGGACGTGGGAGGTTGAGGATGTCTTTCGGAAAGTGAAGAAAGGAGAAAAACAGGCAATGAAACTGTATGCTAAAAAAATGCACCAACAAATTGATGAGCTGGTTACTCGCATTACTGCACCTTTGAGCAAAAACGACAGGAAAAAATACAACACTGTTCTCATCATTGATGTTCATGCCAGAGACATCGTCGATACATTTGTCAGAGACAGGTAAATCCTCAACCTCCTGAGAAAATACCAGAGCCATAAGCTATCTATCTATCCCTTCACCTCGTGTGTGCATGCCTCTTGTGTAGCATTCTGCAGGCTCAGGAATTTGAATGGGAAAGCCAGCTGCGCTTCTATTGGGACCGAGAACCAGATGAGCTGAGTGTGCGGCAGTGCACAGGGACATTTTCATATGGTTATGAGTACATGGGTTTGAACGGGCGCCTCGTGATCACCCCGCTTACTGATCGTATCTATCTCACATTCACACAGGTATGTGTTAAAGGAGTTCTTTTTAGCTGACGTGCACTTGTAAAACTTGCTTCCATGCTGTCGCATAGTTGGCAATTGGGACATAAAAGAAAGGAGAAGAAATGCAGTGTGAACACAAACGTATAATAAGTAGGTTGCAATAGTCTTCTAAACTAGTTGCTTTGAAGATAATGTAGAATGCATGCAGAAATGAGATTTAAGGCTTGTTGTACCCATGGATTTGTTTGTGAATTTGCTACCAGCTTAATAAAATCCTTTTTGTAGTGGAAATGCTAAGTCATGGCTTGAACCGGTGATTGATCACTTGGTAGGAAGTCAGGGCCAAGCTAGGGTCTGTTCAAATGAGGTCTGTTCAAGCGCAGATCTCACTGGAGATTCCTGCATACCCGAGGCCGGAAGGTAAGCAGCTTCTTTTCTTCATTTCTGTGCCCACAGCTTTTGTATTTGTGCAAATCCTCACTCCTTGTAGCCAGGTTCTTGCTGCTCTGCTGCTATTGCTGCACTTTCCATTGTGTTACACTTTGTTCTTTGGTCTGTCTTCAAAGGCTTTATCAATGTTTTTGGGAGGAGCACCAGCAGGGCCAGCAGGTACAGGGAAAACAGAAACAACCAAGGATCTGGCCAAAGCACTGGGCTTGCTGTGTGTGGTGACAAACTGTGGAGAAGGCATGGATTTCAAAGTAAGTTTTTAAGATCTGCATTCTATGGAAAGAGCCGTTTACTGTTCTTTTCCAGCACACAGAATAAGCACAGGTTTTGAACTTCTGAACATGTGCCTCCTTTAGAGTTACCATGCCAATGAAATAGAGTAAAAAATAACTATTTTGAATAAATGTTAAAGGGAATTTGAAGATTCTATCTGTTCTTTCAAACAGGGAAACAATGGCTAAGGGCTACCTGCACTTAGCAAATAGTTACCTAGTGCGGATTGCTAGCTCCTGCATGTATCCAGAGATTTTTACCCAGACATTAAGAGTTTTAGCATACTCCAGTTTGCTGGTGGTGGATTCTTTAACGTACTCATTGCTGAGATGTTTTTCTTCTTCTTGTTAGGCAGTTGGTAAAATCTTCTCTGGTCTTGCCCAGTGTGGAGCATGGGGATGCTTTGATGAATTCAATCGTATCGATGCTTCTGTGCTTTCAGTCATTTCTTCTCAGATTCAAGTTATTCGAAATGCTTTAATGAATCATCAGAAAACATTTCAGGTAAACACTGAAAAAGAAGAGTAATTGTGAAGGCTGATCTTGTGCTGGAGGCAAAGATCCAGGACTGGGCCCAACTGGGAGATCGAAGGGCTGTTTCTGTGGTAATTGCTTTGTGCTGAGTGTTTTGGACTCCAGAATATGTACTCTGAGATTCAAAGATATTAAAGCTTTGCTTATTTTCTAATCCTTTGCTAGATTCTCCCCTTGTGAAGTAGGAGAAAAGTAAGCTAAATAGCAAATAGTAATTAAATGTACCTACATTCATATCTAAAGCTGCATTTTTAACACACTGTCCCAAGCGGGTGTCCCAGTATCGCTGGTTTTCTCTTTCAGCAAATGGTAATGTTTCAGTTACAAACACACATTGTGCTAAAGTTTTCATGTGCTTTTAGTTTGAAGGACAAGAAATAAACCTTGATAGCCGAATGGGCATTTTTATTACAATGAATCCTGGTTATGCTGGCCGGACTGAGCTCCCTGAGTCTGTAAAAGCTTTGTTCAGGCCTGTGGTTGTTATTGTACCAGATCTTCAGCAAATCTGCGAAATCATGCTCTTTTCTGAAGGATTCCTTACGGCAAAGGTAAGAAAACTGTATTGCTCTCCATACCCTTGTATGCGTGCTCTGTGTTTTGTTGTAACTTCACGTCTGTGATTATTTAACTCTCAAACAGGTCCTTGCCAAAAAGATGACAGTGCTGTACAAGCTGGCAAAAGAACAACTTTCTAAACAACATCATTATGATTTTGGGCTGCGGGCCCTTAAGTCAGTATTGGTGATGGCTGGGGAATTGAAAAGGGGATCACCAGACCTCAGTGAGGTAGGCTTGCTACTTATTTACCCTTTGCAGCTCATACTTTTTGTTGGAAATAGTATATGTTTACACATTTGCTGTAGTTTGTCTGCATTTGAAATAGAAGCATTGGTGTTCTTTGTCTTATTATTTTACTGTGTTCTTACTGAGCTTCATGATGCCCTCTACCAGCAAGGTAGCATCAGAACTTGGTAGGGAAACCTATAAAAAATGAGGTGTTTTACTTCATGTGCAGTCTTGATATAAAGTCCAGGATGCACTATTTATCCTGGATAAATAGTGAAAACTACTTTCTGAAGATAATACCCAAAGTGGGTGCTCCATTCATATTGTTGTTCATTTGGTAGCTCAAGTGGTGCATCGTACTTACAAACAAAAGCTTTTTGATGCTGCAATAACTGCAGAATTTGGGAATATTTATAAAACAATTGTTTATTTTAGCATCAAATCAGGGAAATTGTAGTATGATCACTCTAGCCACACAGCATTTTGTTAATATAGTTGACAAAGGCAGCCTTTTTCACTATTTGACTATTTGACTTTTTCAATATTTGACTATTGGTCAACTTAATCCTTTCAAAATGGCCTCTTTTCCACTAGTAGCTGAAGCCAAGAAAGCATTCTCAAAGCTGTACTAAAGTAATTGTGCAATGGTTTTTGGTGATGTTTGAAATTACTATGTATTAGGTAATTGGTTACCTCTTTGGTAGAGAGTGATTCTGCTGTGTTTTGTCTAGGAGGTTGTACTGATGAGAGCTCTACGAGATATGAATCTTCCTAAATTTGTGTTTGAAGACGTACCTCTCTTCCTTGGCCTAATCTCTGACCTGTTTCCCGGCCTGGACTGCCCTCGAGTCCGCTACCCTGACTTTAATGATGCTGTAGAACAAGTGCTGGAAGAAGGAGGTTATGTTGTTTTACCAGTTCAGGTATAAAAAATGTTAATTGCCCGAGTTTTTGTTGTAAACATTAGGCTGGATATGCATTGCTGCACTCGAGAATGGCTCCAGGAAAGCTTAGTAGGTATAGACCAGCTGCTGATCTTGTCCATAGACCTATGGATAGCAGTCTGTTGAATTAATATGTATTTTTTCAGGTGGATAAAGTTGTTCAGATGTATGAGACAATGATAACTAGACACACTACAATGGTGGTTGGGCCTACTGGAGGTGGCAAATCGGTTGTCATTAATGCTTTGTGCCAAGCCCAGAACAAGTAAGTATACAATTTGATACCTGGAAGGGTGGCTGTAAAATGACTTGTGTAGTCATATCAAAATCATTAATAGCTAGCCATAACGTATGCTTGGGTTATCATGAGGTGGTATTCTCATAATATAAATGTATACATAAATAATATTGCTTTCCTTTTGTATTTCTAGGCTGGGATTGTTGACAAAGCTTTACACACTGAATCCTAAAGCTATGTCTGTGATTGAACTATATGGGATCCTTGACCCTACCACACGAGACTGGACAGATGGAGTCCTGTCAAACATTTTTCGGGATATCAACAGGCCTACTGACAAGAAAGAACGAAGGTAGACAGCTAGAAATTACTGTGATAACTTTTAGGTGCTGAATTTTGTGTCAACTTTTCTTTTTTTAATATAATACACAATATTTGATACTATGCTAGTTCAGAAACAAATGATAAGTGAATGCAAAGTGTCTAAGGGTATCTTTCTATTTCTTGTGAGTTGTGTGCCTCAGTGAGATGAATAGAAACAATGCAGTGATCAAAAATGCAGGGGAGACTTCAAAACACCTGAGCTGACATTGATGCCTTTGATGGAATGTCTGAGTTCTGAAATATGTGACTGAAGTCAGAGATTATATATCCCTTGGCTCCTGTATCCACAGGTACATTCTGTTTGATGGAGATGTAGATGCTCTATGGGTTGAAAACATGAATTCTGTCATGGATGACAATAAGTTACTGACCCTGGCAAATGGGGAGAGGATTAGACTCCAGTCGCACTGTGCACTGTTGTTTGAGGTAGGAAATGGCTGTATGTGGGAGGGGTTAGATGAGGCTAGATCTACACAGCCTGTAAAAGTAGTTACTCTGTCTATTCTTTGAAGGCATGATTATGTGGTATGATTATTTTACAGGTTGGTGACTTACAGTATGCATCTCCTGCCACAGTATCCCGCTGTGGAATGGTCTTTGTGGATCCTAAAAATCTGAAATACAAGCCTTACTGGCAGAAGTGGATGCGAGGAAGAGAAAATGAGGTGGGAATTTCTGCATTTGGTCATAGAGTATTTTTTATTAAATACTGAACTGTAGAAAGAAGAGGGAAAAAAACAAAACACAGAACATCTTTGTAAAGTCAGTCTCATCTTCTGAATTGGCTTATGGTTCATCTGTCATTAGGTTCTGAAGTAAGAAAACTTATTTACTATCACCTGATGAATGCAGATCCTCAGCTGCCAAAAAAACAGTCTGTATAACTGTTAAATTTCTTAATTTGCCTGTATTCTGTCACTCCTGTAAAAGCAATTATACTTGGTCAGCCAGGTGTTGATGGGAAACTCTGCTTTCACAGTCACCCTCCCACTTTTCTGTGTGTTTAATTATTGTCCCTTTTTTCCCTCAGCAAGAGAGAATTGAATTGAATCGTCTCTTTGAAAAATACGTGCCCTGCCTTATTGATATGATTACAGAGGGAGTTGTGGATGGCAAACAAGAAGAAAGGCTGAAGACCATTGTTCCTCAAACAGATTTAAACATGGTGAGGAATAGAAAATAAAGGTTGACAAAGTTTATCTTAGAAGTGGAGCTGACTAATGAAGGCAAAAATCTCCCAAGGAAATCACAAGAGTAGAGTTCACAGTGAAATCTCAGTTTGCTACCAAGAAACAATAGAAACAGTCAGTTCCTTACCAGTGCCATCCTGCTGTGATTAATACTTGTATCAGTAGATACATCTGTAAGGACCAAAGATCAGCAAACACTCAAACAGCTGAAAACATAGTAAGAGTTTTTACCTATCTAAATAGTGATTCTGTTTACACTTTTGACCTTTTTTACAACAGGTGGTTCAGCTGACTGTGATGCTGGAAGCTGTTCTTGTAGAAAAACCTGATGATCCTGATGTTCTAGAGTGCTTTTTCTTGGAAGCTTTATATTTTTCTTTAGGTGCTTCTCTTCTTGATGCTGGAAGAGTTAAATTTGATAAATACATTAAACATATTTCTTGTATGTCAACTGTTCATGATGAGAACATCCTGGCTAAGCCAGGGGAGCTGCCAGGTAGGATTTTATTATGATGTACTCCAAATCACGTTGATTATGTTGAAAAAGTCTCGGTTTCCTTGAAGTGAGAACATTGTTCTTCCTTACAGCTATCTGCCATGAAAATGTTTGATGTTCTCTGAAGGACTGTCACTGAAAATGTGTAGAGATACTATTGCTGGCTGACTCTTAGTTACTGGCTTACCTTCACAGAACTGTGCCAGCCAGAAAATGTAAAAAGTGAAAGGAAAAACAAAAAGGGAAATGAAAACCATTGGAAAAGTGCTTATTAATTGATAATATGACTCAAATACTGGACTAGGAGAATTTTGTTAGGTGTTTTTCTGGGTTAAATGACAAGTGGAACAGCGTTGCTCTACATGATCCAGAATCACAACCTTTACTTTCATTTCAGTCTTATGAAATGTTGAAGTGTCCTAGGAACTTTTCAGCTGTTTAATGGTTTCCAGGTCAGCTGCCAACTTTGTATGACTTTCATTTTGATGGATTTCAAAAAAAGTGGGTACCTTGGATGCAACTTGTTCCTGGATATATTCATAATCCTCAAAAGAAGTTTCTTGACATCCTAGGTGAGTGTAAGATAAAAAAAGTGGCAGTGTGCTTTTACTTTATGTGAGTGGACTTAACGTAAGGATCCTCACCGTGTGCTGAAGGTCATCTACTCTTTTTCAGTTTCTTGTGATGACAGAAACCAATTTATTTAATGCTCTTGTTAGAGTAGATTATCAGGAATAGAGTTGATATTTCAGTGCCTACGGCATTTTGAAAGAGTCAGAAGAGCAGAAGATTGATTTTTTTTTTTTTTTTTTTTTTTTTTTGTACTTGGCCAGAAACTCTGAAAAAATCTCACATCACCGGTTCAAGTGCTCAGTAGATAAAAAATTCATTTTTAAGGCCATTATTGGTTGTTACTTGAAATACTATATAATGATGACAAGCGCTTTTCATAGTTAAGACTAAATTGGTCCAGGTTATTTTATAGTAAGATTCAGCAAGCATAGATTAATTTCACTGACACAATAGGTAATGGTATGGTCTATAATACTGTTCCTGATGGCAGGCTATTCACATAGAACAAAATTCATCTCTGTATGTTTCAGGGAAAAATAAGTCCTGATCCAAATATAACCTGATTATGTCCTTGGAATAGGGATTACGTGGAATTTAACCAGTCTGTGGTGCTGCTATGTGGAGAACTAATTTTCTTACATGTCAATAGGAAAAAAGAGCCCAGTGATAAAAATTGAGTAGCTGTGGTTAAGCAATTAAAGTTTTTCTTCAGCATTGTTAGTAAGTCGATATTTCAGGTTACATCTTTGTGCAACTGCATGTTAATTGTGAATCTGATCCAGCTGTGTTCCATAAATATAAATTCCCCAGGCTGCACTGCCTTTAATTTTAACCTGCTGTTCTATTCACAATCTTTTTCAGTGCCTACAGTGGATACAACACGCACTACTTGGTTGCTAGAACAAATGGTAAAAATAAAACACCCAGTTGTTCTTGTAGGTGAATCAGGTACTTCTAAAACAGCAACAACGCAGAACTTCTTAAGCAGTCTGAACGAAGACCTTAATGTACGTATGAGGCATTTTGCCTTGTTTATAAAGCTGCATTTTCATTTTGTGACCCTGTGTTAAATTTCTGTTCTGAAGCCTGAGCCTGTGAGTAGCAGTATTGACTTTGAGGCCTCATGAAGGTTCAGAGATCTAACTGCAAGCTCAGGCCCAAATTGTAATGATGATTTGAGAATTCTTGAAGAAAAGAAATATTTTGTTCTCTTACTTTATCAAAGATTTAAGAAGAATTTCACTTCTTTGTTGTCTGTAATTCAAATGAGTAACTGAACCAGATAAGTGTTTCTGATATGTCTGACAACTTAATATAAAGAATATTTTCTAGAATACTCTAGTTTGGAGGGGGAAAAAAAAGGTAAAAATCCATTCTTATCAATTTCCTCCTCTTTGCAGCTTCTCCTAGTGATGAACTTCTCTTCCCGTACAACATCAATGGACGTCCAGAGAAATCTAGAAACAAATGTAGAGAAACGAACTAAAGACACTTATGGCCCTCCTATGGGAAAACGTCTCATTGTTTTCATGGATGATATGAATATGCCAAGGGTAAGCTGCCACTGGTTAGCAAGGTATTTTGGAAACATTTATGGTGGCACTGATGTCATGCCTTCATGTACAGATTCAACTGTGTGAAAGGACTAGGTCTTATATCACAAGTCAAGGGGATTCATGGAAGTACATTTAGTTTTTAGTTTGGGAACTTCAGAACTGTGGGACTTGTCTGCAGTATGGGGTATTTCTGTCTATTGCAGTATTTGACCTCTAGATAAGAAATATTTCCTTTCGAATCACTTCTTATAGAATCATAGAATTGCTCAGGTTGGAAAAGACCTTCAAGATCATTAAATCCAACTGTAAATGGCATTAAAATCATTTGCCTGTGGCCTAATATTGGTTGCAGGATGTTTCTTGTAGAAACCTCCCTTTCACTTTAGAATTGGAGCAGGAAAGGATGTGTGCATTTTTAGCTTATCATGGAGAAGAGGCACTTTTATTGTATGAGACATCAGAATGAATGTTCACAGTCAGTGCCAGAGCTCTACCAAGTGTAATGTAGTCTGTGTAACGCTGTCCCAAGTAGGGAGCACAATATTTTCATGTTTATAGCAGTATTTGGCATGTTGATATACTGTGCTCTAAATATCTTGCTGCTTTTTGTGTTACAAAGGTTGATGAGTATGGCACGCAGCAACCCATTGCCTTGTTGAAGCTGCTGCTAGAAAAAGGTTTCCTGTATGACCGCAGTAAGGAGATGAACTGTAAAATGCTCCGAGATCTGGGATTTGTCGCTGCCATGGGGAAAGCTGGAGGAGGTCGGAATGAAGTCGACCCTCGATTCATCTCACTCTTCAGTGTTTTTAACGTACCTTTTCCTTCTGAGCAGTCACTGAATTTGATCTACGCCTCCATCCTGAAAGGCCACACTGCGGTAATTTCACTCTTGTTGAAGGATTGCTTAACGGGTTTATTTTGAAATATACACTCATTTTTGTGTTGTCACAGGATCTAAAAACATTTGTTTTCAAGTTTCCTTCTCATTTAGAGAAGTAGTAGTTTTAGACCAATTTATTTTTTCTCTTGTGAAAACACTGTAGAAATTCCAGTGATTGAGTGTGATGTTATTTTCAGTGAAGATGCACCATACCCAAAAACATTTAATTTCTGTATATGTGCAGGAATGCTGCACAGGAATACAAATTTCTAGAAATGTTTAAGTTATTTGAAAAGCTGGAAAGCAGAATATTTGATAGTATTCAATTTTCTACGGGCAGTTGCATGAAAACATCTCTTTTTTCTCTCATGTTTGCAGACGTTTAATGAGTCTATATCAGCTATCTCTGAGACCATAACAGTATGCACCTTGGAGCTTTATAAAAGGATTGTCTGTGACCTACCCCCTACTCCTTCCAAATTCCATTACATTTTTAACCTGCGGGACCTTTCCAGGGTCTATAATGGACTTATTCTTACAACCCCAGAGAGGTAAGAACATAAAAAATTGTCTTCAGTAGTCCTTTACCTGTTTGTTTGGATGAAGCTGGGGTAAAATGAGGAAGCTTGGTGCATGAAATCAATCACATCTCATTGCTTTTCATTAAACCTTCACCAGAGTGAGAAGATGTGCAGGAACATCCTTAATTACAATACTACTTTTGATGACAAATGCTATTGCATTAATCTTCCTTAAATAAGATACCTGAAGGTAGTGATGCAATTTTTTTTATCTTTATGAAGAGGGAAAAAAAAAAACAAAAAACAGTAGAAGAGTTTAAAAAAAAATCAGTCCAGACTTTTGATCAAATCAGTTTGCTTGGGTCACTGATATTTTGATATTAATGCAGGTTTCAAACAGTCACCCAGATGGTGAGAGTTTGGAGAAATGAGTGCCTGAGGGTTTTCCATGACAGGCTGATTAATGAAGCAGATAAAGCTTTGGTGAGTAGTTTCTTTCAACTTTCATTAGTTACTGAATATTACAGTGGCAACTAATTTGCCACAGCAGTGTTGTCAACTATTGCATTCAGGTCTTGCAGTCATACTGCAGACTCGTCTAACTGCTGTGTTGTTACTACATTATCTTAAAATGTAATCTGTGGAGCTCTCTAAAATAAAGTAACCATGGCAGACTAAGTGAGCTGATCTGCTGAAGGAACAGATTTTTTTTTTTAATAAGGTGTATTGCTTTCTGTCTTAAATTTCTGCAGTCCATTGACTTGAATGGTTCCTGAACTTCCTCTTAGGCCATTTTGTATCATAGAACACAAAGGGCGCTGTGGTCTGGTTCTTCTGGTAACCTCACTAGCTTTCACTCTTGGAAATAAGTCAATATTTGAGCAAGAATGTGCATTATTAATATCACTCTTTTAAGTATTCCTGGACTCAAAAATACCTGCTTTGTTCCGTTGCCTAACTTATTTCTTATACACAAAGGTACAAGGACATATCAAAAACCTGATTGAAGAGAATTTCAGAGATGAATTGGAGCAGGCTATGAGGGATCCTATTCTTTTTGGGGATTTCAGGATGGCACTGAATGAGGGAGAGCCTCGTATTTATGAAGATATACAAGCCTATGATGTGGCAAAAAATCTCTTTCAGGTAGTGTGCTTCAGTTTGGAACTGTGTGTGATTTTTGTGTCTTTGCATGAGGAATGGGCAGGAAATTGCACCAAACAAGGTGAAATCAGTTTGTATGTGCACACATACAACAGTGTGCACAGAAGACTCTCATTTGGCATCTGGAATTATGAAAATTGGGGGTCAGCTATGGCAGTGCTTTCTAATTATTTATTTTCCTTGATGATCTTTACTAGCAATAATGCGGCTAAATGGGTTGTTATTTTATTAATGTTATTGTTTTCTTGGTCTCCTAGTAACGTTCTGACCACCTTTCTCTGCAGGAGATTTTGGAGGAATATAATGAGGCTAATGTTAAAATGAATCTAGTTCTTTTTGATGATGCTTTGGAACATTTAATCCACGTATATCGCATCATACGGATGGATCGTGGCCATGCCCTACTCATAGGAGTTGGAGGCTCAGGAAAGCAGTCTCTTACAAGATTGGCTGCCTTTACAGCTGGATGTGAGGTTAGTGTCTGTGCATCTTTGCAGTGAATGAAGACAAGGAAAGCAACAGTGGGATGAGGATTAAATTGGATGGGGATGAGAGGAGGAGGGGAAAGGCAGTCAAGATAAGATTAGGCTGGCATCTCTTCCGTGTGAAGAGAAGAAAACAGTTTGCTAGGAGGCTGTGGGTGATCTTGGCACTTGGGGACAGAAAACAAGGATGGGTTTTAGGGTCAAATCTAATAGTACCTAATTATTGCTTTTGTTGCTTATCTGTACTACAGCATCACTCTGGTGCTTCTCAAGGAACCCTATTGTGATTGATATTGTAATATTTTAGATAGGAAATGTTCCTCCTTCAAGAGTTTCTTAAGGAAACTGTTGATTTGGAGGGGAAGAATGAAAAGGGAGGGTGAATACAAAGGGCAGTCAAATTTGAAAATTGCAATCCTGTAGGTTTGTACAAATGTAATTGTTTGGAAAGAGTGCAGTGCATAAATTTACTGATGGATGGAGGCCAAACCAAAACCTTTCATCCAATCTAGTTCAAATTGAGTTTCGAAGATGTCTTGGGTTCATCTGTCTCTTCTTAATATTTGTTTGCATCCCTAGGTATTTGAAATCATCTTGACTCGAGGATATAGAGAAAATAACTTCCGAGAAGACCTGAAAAGCCTGTACCAGAAGCTTGGTATTGAGAACAAGTCAATAGTCTTCTTGTTTACAGATGGCCATGTAGCAGATGAGAGTTTCTTGGAGCTCATCAATAACATGTTAACTTCAGGTGACACACACAGCCTGAATTACTGCCAGTATAGTATTTGCTTGTGACTCAAATGCACCCTTGGTCCAGCTTTTACTATTTCACCCTGTATTCTCTGCTGCTGTAGTTAGTTACACGTTTCAATACTACCTGAAATTATCTTGGCCTTAATGATGGCTTTTTGACATTGTATTGTCATTTATATGCATCTGGGGAGCCTAAAAGTGCACATAGTTTTGCAGGAACCTCATGCTTCTTCCAAGACCAGAGTGCAACTTCAGTTGTGTTTAATCACAAACTCTCTTTTCTCTCATTTGCTTTTAAATAGCATTCACCTGAGCAACAACAGATGCTTATATATAATCTTAAGCTATAGTTTACTGTCTTTTATTGTATGCAGCTGGTGAAGATTAGCAGCTCTGTATGACCATCCTCTCTATAGAAGTTCATACAGAATCTGATTTTTTGATCCCTTTTCTTGGTATGGTTCTCTCTGTTCTGTTCTGCTTATGTCAGTCATTAGGTAACTCGTGCAATACGACCATTTGATGGAGAGACTGAAAATGTGATTGGTGGTTTCGAGACACAAATGAATGTTTTCCTTACATGAGTAAAAGCATTTTGTGTTCTTGTGACATTTTGTATATGTTGCTGAAGCCCAAACAAAACCAAAGCAATTATTCTTCTAAATCCCCTTGCATCATCTAAAGTATTTCCTGTATGTTGTCCATTATGGGTGAGGAGGAGAAGCATAGAGAGATTAATAGGTTCATTTAGAACTGCCCAGAATCATTTTTGCTGAATTAGGTTTAATACTTGTCACTCTAGTTTCCCATTTGCTCTGTCCCCAGCCATATGGTTATAAATTGTTCTCAGTAGCATTCTTCTGTCCATATGTTACAGGAATGGTGCCAGCCCTTTTTGCAGATGATGAAAAAGACACCATACTAAGTCAGATTGGAGACGAAGCTATTAAAGCTGGTGTGAACCCAGCTAAACAGAGCGTCTGGCAATATTTTGTAAACAAATGTACAAGCAACCTTCATATTGTCCTGGGAATGTCCCCAGTTGGGGACAGTCTGAGAACGTGGTGCAGAAATTTCCCAGGTATCAATTATATACACTGCTTCATCCCTTCCCTGTCAAACACAGGTTTGCAGGCAAGACAAAATCTCCAGCAGACTGCCACAGCTAAAGCGAAGTGGAGCAGGTTTAATGATTACACATTTGCATGATGTTTTCCAGTTAAGTGCCACGTATCAGTGGATATTATTGACTAACATTTAGCAGATCAGTTCATTTTCCAGCTGAACTGCTAGAAATCAATTAGTCATCCTCACTGAAGCAGAAGTATGCAGACTGCCTCTGTGTGCAGCCTTTCCTCTATAGATTACAGAAGAATGTGACATATTAAATCATTTTGAAACTAGGATATGGTGGTAAAAGAAACATTTTTATATCCAAAGCTAAAAGAACAGTGGGTTAAGAAGGACACAACTAAGAGAAAAACCACCTGGGCTTGGTGGATGCTACTGCAGAACAGGTGGCTGAAAGATGTCCTAAAAGGACTGAGGAGACTCACAAATTGAGGTGTACTGGTGGGAATCCCAGTGTGGGCTTTAAAATATCTAGTTGTTGCTCGAGTGCATCCTATGGAATGGTATAGCCTAAAGAATAGTGCAACAGGTCTAGCTGGACACAGATGCAGTGCTGATTATTTACTATCAAGAAGGAAGTACTGGCTTTGTGGTAATTATTGTTCCTAAGTAGGAGCCAAATAAGACCAAACCTGAAAATTCTTGATGCAAACAAAGTTAAACTTAGGGCTGTCTGGCAGATTAAGATGTAGCTTTTCAAAGAAACTTTTCAGGCAACGCTAAGGCAACACTATGCTTTTATTTTAAGGTCTTGTCAACAATACTGGTATTGACTGGTTCTTACCCTGGCCCTCCCAAGCTTTGTATGCAGTTGCAAAATCCTTTGTTGGTAAGTAAGATGTCAGTATTTTAACCCATTAATCCTTGGATAAGCCTAAGAAATGAATTCTGTACTTTGACTTTATTATAGATGTTATCTTGCTTTCCTGTTGTGGATACTACCATAGATCTACAAGGATGAAGCAATATCCCAGTAAACAAAAATGTTTTTGTTTGCCAGTTTCTTACTCAAATAGGTTTAGAAGAAATGGCTAAGATTCAAGCCCGTAACTCTGTAGATGATGTTACCTGGCTATCAGGATGCCTTTGTTCTCTTCTGAGCTCTATCTTGGCCTTGCTTCTTGTCCCAGGAAGCAGATTTTTAAGCCTGGCTTCAATGTACATTAGAGAAAGAAGATGGTAATTGGCATACTATTAAAAAAATAAATAAGTATATTAAGAATATGCCAATTATAAAATAAATAAATAAAATATAAAAAAAATTACATATAGATTGATGTATAATACATATATTTGTTTTATTTTATTTTTATTCTGACTAATTTTAGGAAGTAACACACGCATTCCAGCAGAGAGCTCCAAGATGGTGGTTGAGCACATGGTCATGGTGCATGAATCTGTAGGCATTTTCAGCAAGAGGTTTCTGCAGAAATTAAGACGTAGTAACCATGTCACACCAAAAAATTACCTTGACTTTATCCATACGTATCCAAGATTGCTTGAGGAGAAAAATGAGTTCATTTTAGGTAAGACTGTGGATGTTTTCTCCTTTTTAGTAAGTGATTTAAATACTTAGGGGAAAAAAAGGGGAAAAAAGAAAAAGTATAATGTGATGAAAATGGGTGTAGATCCCTAATGTTACCCACGTTATCCAAAAATGATGCTATCGATACCCAGTTTCGATGTTGGCTAACATCCTGGCCACATGTGATTGTTTGGATTCTGTCTAGTGCTGTGTATACCCCAGATTCCTCTGTGAATGAATCTGAGCCAGGATTTCCAAACCAGACACTCTTCTGCTTGAGGAAGGGTGATTAGATCTGATGATAGTTCAGCCTAAGCCAAGGCTTGACATTCTTCCTCAAACAGCAGTTGTTAATCATACTTCTGTGAGTACTGAGGTATGCAAAGAGCATCAGATATCAACAGTGCAGTAGTGAAAGCAAGTAGAGGTGCAGGGCCACTTCTTGGCAACGCAGGTGACTTTAATGCTGGGGGAGGCTTATGAAGTAAAAAATCTTTCACAGTGATTTTCCTGTCATAACTGAGGTTGTTCTGTTGCAAAGTGCACCTATAAGCATGTCTACCTTCTGTGACATTGTCTACTGCTGTGCAATAATACCAAGGAGTCACTAATATTTCTCACTTTTTTTCCTTTCCAGTACAATGCAAACGGCTGGAGAGGGGCCTGGATAAACTGAAGGATGCGAGTGTGCAGTTGGTTGAGCTGAACAAGAAACTCGCAGAGCAAAAGATTGTGCTAGCAGAAAAATCAGCTGCTTGTGAGGCTTTGTTAAAAGAGATTTCAGCAAACACAGAAGTAGGTAAGTAGTTTACAACTGCTGAAGTGTCCCTCAGGCTAAGCAAGGCTTTCATAGTCTGTGTTGGGTTGGAAGCTACTTTAAGAGCTTCAGATGCTTTTAGAGATGACCCTCTTGTTCTGCCTGTGCTGATGTAGGATCTTTCTAGAAGAGTAGGTCCTGCATTCTAACCAGATTGACATATTTCCTATATATTTGGTCTACTTTACTTTGTGTACCTCAATACTATGCCCTCCAGCCCTTGTCTTCCCTTCGTAAGGTATAAGGAGTAAAGTGGGAAAGAGGCATTAGCAAGAAAGGGATCTTCTGTTTCAGAAATGCTTTCAGAAGGAAATCAGAAGGAAGCACAGTGTGAAGAGAGATTATCTATGCTTTGTGTGGAATGCTAATGGTATTCCCATCCTGGTGATGGATGGAGCCCTGTAAACACTGGCAAGCTAGAAATAAGAGGGTACTGATTTGGTGGTAATTCCTGATTTTGAGCCAAAAGCACGTAGTACATGTTCTGCAAGCAAATTTGAATAATCTACTTACCGTCCTGCTTTTACAATTTGTAGCTGAAGTGAAGAAAAAACTGGCTGAAGAAAAAGCTGCAGAGATACAGGAACAGAATAAGATTATTGCTATGGAGAAAAAGGCTGCTGAGACAGCTCTGGCTGAAGTCATGCCTATTTTAGAAGCTGCCAAACTGGAGCTGCAGAAGCTTGACAAGTCTGATGTTACTGAGATCAGGTAGTTCATTTAGATGTACAATAGCATAAATGCTTGGAAATTCATGGAGAGACCATTTTAGAGTCAGCCTTATTTCCTCATGGGCACAGCGTGTGGGTTATGATCAGGACAGCAGCTTCCCAGGTGCAGATGTCACAACAGAATCCTCTGATTCCTAGCCTAGAACGTCTCCTCCTGTTCTTTCTATTTTCAGTGCTGCTTTGATAGCATGAAAATGTTCTTTTCTGCTGAATTGCTTCTATTACTGTTTTTATAATACATTTTGTATTTGGGGACAGGTGTAAAATTGCATGCAGTCCTTGGCTCTCCCCAAAATAGTAAGAGCTTTTCATTCCCTGTCACACTTGTCTGGTTTCTTTTCTCTGGTAGATCTCTGGATTCTTTTGGTTCTATGCCTCCTAGTGAACAGCTGCTTGATTGCACGAGGGAGAAATATGCATCATTGTTTTAGGCCTTTCACTGCTGAAATTCCTTAGTCTCTTACTGATCAAATTGTTTGAATGCAACAACCAGTTTTGAGCTCTCATCTAGCTAATTATTTCTTGTTTTGGCTGGATTATATTTTTCATTTTGTTTAAAATGTCTTATTTAATAGCTGTTGTTACGTTTCATTAGCAGTCTTGATGGGAAGCACAGATCTAGCATCGTGTTTTGTTTCCTCCATTGTCTTCTTCACTTGTTTCCTAGATCCTTTGCAAAACCCCCTAAACAGGTGCAAGCTGTTTTGGAATGTGTTCTTATAATGAGGGGGTACAAAGAATTAAACTGGAAGACAGCCAAAGGAATGATGTCAGAGGCCAATTTCCTGCGATCCCTGATGGAGTTAGATTTTGATGGCATTACTTACAGCCAAGTGAAATCTGTTCGAGGTAAAGTATTGACCAGCATGGACCATCAACGGGGATGTAGCTCAGTGGTAGAGCGCATGCTTTGCATGTATGAGGCCCCGGGTTCAATCCCCGGCATCTCCACTTTTGGAGCTCAGTCTTAAATATCTGTCAGTGACACCAACAGTGCAGGTTTGGCACCAAGCTGTGGGGCGTCGCTTCCGGCTCCGAGGGCGCTGTGATTCCATCAGCTGTAGCTGGAATGAAGGCAGCCCTGGTTCGAGAGCCGTGTCCATGGCAATGCTGCCAGGGCTGTTCGGGAGGGTGAGATTTCCCTTGTGCTAAGGGACAGCACTATCTGTGTTGCTGCCGATGTCGCTCTTTTGGAGAATTGGATTTTTCAGAGTGCAGAGACCTTCTGCTCTGTGTTACAGCCAGTCCTCGTACACTTCGGTTTGGAGCAGGCAAGAAGCAAGCAGGACAGTGGAGCAGGCCTGCTGTTCTGCCTTTGGATATTCAGAAAGCAGCACTATGATCTTGATCATCATGTGGCAATTGAGATGTGATTTGTACACAGTGAGAAGAAGATAAGCTGTATATAAAACTGATGAGTCAAGCTTTGCAGATGATCACAAGGATGTGATCTGGAGTATTCCCATTAAGAGTTGAACTTTGCACTTTTAACAAAATGGTATCCGACTGCTGTAGAGAAAGCAAACCATGACCATGAGGCATGCTGGAAAACTGAATGTGCTACTTTTTTTTTTTTTTTTTGAGTAGGAACTTGAGAAATCACTAGCAGTATTGTTGTATGGTTAAAGCCCAGTGCCTTCATCATAAGTTCGGAATCTTTTCTATTCTGACAAACGACTCATATGATCTGTTACAGTACTGCTCAATATTGCTGTACAGAAGCCTTATTTCTCTAAGGATTGCTGCACTGTAACTTGGCTCACTTGCAATATCTTTGTCCATTTAGCTGTGTTGAAGAGTCTTAATACCACCTTCACTGAAATGGAACTTGTTAGCAGAGCTGGCCTGGGAATGCTGAAGTTTGTTGAAGCGGTGATGAGCTACTGTGATGTAGTTAGAGAAGTCAAGCCAAAGAGAGAGAAGGTACAGTGCATGAATTCAGACTCTGAGGAGGATGAAACATGAATCATCAGAAAAATAACACTTGGCGATTTCATAGCGTGAAGTCTCTGAAGTGCTTCAGAAGAGGTGTTTAGAAATATTGCAGCATGGGTGAGGAATGTGCGGTTATGTGCTGTGTCTGTTGTGCTGTCATGCTGTGGTATGGGTTCCCATCCACTCTAGTGCTGGGAGGAGGTGAGAGAAATGGGGCCAGGTGGAATTTGATAGTCTAACGTGCTCAAAAAAGCAGTTTTTAGCTGTCTACTGAAAACATGCTTCAAAGCACGTGACATTTGGACAGAGCAGAGCTCTGTCACACATCCATGCCCCTTGAGTGCAGACCTTTTAATTAAGATTTTTTAGAAAGACTGGGACCTTAGCTGTATTATGAAAAGAAATCTGAGGACACTGGGAAAATTTCTAACAGAAAATCTGTTTATGTGCAGCTGACTACTGATAAAGTATATTCACTAGGTGGTGGGCCTGACTATTTTTAAGGTCTTAAGGTCACTGTTATTAAGCAGACAAACCTCCTTTTTTGTCTGGGATGATAGTCCTGCTGACCTCTGCTGTTGGCAGGACTGCTTACATGCTTGTTATAGCTTATGTGGTGAGAACTCTGCTTTAGGAGGTTTGCCTGCTTTGTAACTGCAGTTTCAGACCGTGAGGTAAATGCTTAGGATGGGGAGAGGTGGATGAGGAATGATGGCAGTTATTTTGGTTTACACCTATTACCATGATGCTTTAAAATACACAGGATAGCCAGAAGGAAGAACTTGAGATTTCTCTCCAAAACCCCTCTTTTCTCTGATAATACTCTTTATATTTTCCTTCATAATATAGGTGGCAAGGCTAGAACGGAACTATTACTTAAGTAAGAGGGAACTGGAAAAGATAAATGCAGAGCTATCTACAATTCAGGCTGAGCTTAAAGCTTTGGGGGACAAATACCAGGAGGCAATAAAAGAAAAGCAACAGTTACAAGAAGAAGCAGAGATTATGCAGAGAAGACTGGAAGCTGCTGACAAGCTCATCTTTGGCTTGAGATCTGAGAACAAGAGGTAAGCGTAGATTCAAAGAAGAATGTTGTTGACCTCAGAAGATCGTATGCCAGGAATAAAATCTTTCAAACTGAGATATTTTTGGAAATGTCTTTCTCTGATTTTTTCTTTTCCCTGCTGCTAGGGATTAATATGCATTCTAAATAATATTCATTAGATCTTGAAAAGTAGTAATAACGATTTTTAATGCAGGACAAAAAGGTTTACTAAGGTTAAAAGGAAGATGGTTCAATCCTACTCAGTGTCATCACAACGACTGACAGTAAATGTTGTGGTTGTCTTTCTCAATCAGTAGACAAAATAGCAGCAGTTGGAAAAGAATCCCCACCCCCTGTTACAGATTCACCCAGGATCCCCTTATTTTTCTGTCAGGTGGGCAAAGGAACTAGAGGACCTCAAAATGCGAAAGGTGAAGTTGCTTGGAGATTGTCTACTCTGTGCTGCCTTTCTGAGCTATGAAGGAGCATTCAGCTGGGAGTTTCGTAATGAGATGATTTATCAAGTGTGGCAAGAAGACATTCTTTCACGAGAGATTCCTCTCAGCCAGCCTTTTAGGTTAGAAAGCCTCCTGACTAATGAGGTGGAGGTTAGCAGGTATGTCCAGTCAAGAAGTTATTGACTACTGTATGTGAAATCATGAAGTGGGAGTCTGAATCTGTAGCACAGAATTGGCATTGTGCATTGAAGTGTGGGTGGAAAGACCGTTTTACTTCATGCCACAAAGGTGGCAAGGAGACAGTGATTTTCCTGGTAGACACAGGCTATTTGTTATAACAAACCATTGCTCTTTGTAATGCAAGGGCATTCACTGAACCTATATGCATACCTTTTTATTAATTATCTATAGTATGTATTTCACCCAAGGCTTAACAGCAGTCTTTTTATTCACTTCAGTAAATTTGCAATTAAACCTATAACCAAGTAACCCAAATTTCAGCTGCTGTGTGAGTCCTCAAATGCAAATGCAGCAGTCTGAGTTTTGAGTAGTGTAGTTAAAATGTCTCAATGAGTCAGTCTGAGTTTTGGCACTGCTCTTGCAATCACATACGCTGTATGTTTGCCTTGTGTTTCTAATGGTACGCACAAAGGATTGCATGGTTTTACAGACTACTGAAGTTATCTGCTCTCCCATCAAGTTTTTGTTCCAGTTTGGTCTTTGCTTCCTAGGTGGGTTTCCCAAGGATTGCCTCCGGATGAGCTCTCCATCCAGAATGGCATTCTGACAACATATGCAAGCCGTTTCCCACTCTGTATTGACCCACAACAACAGGCTTTAAATTGGATTAAGAAGAAAGAAGAAAAAAATAACCTGAGGGTAAAGATAAACAAGGATTTCACCTTTTGGGGACTGATGGTTTTTTGGGATGTTGGCTAGCCTCAGTACAAGCAAAGTAGTGTAACCAAGAGGCTGTGTTGCTTGTGTTTTTTCTCAGCTCCAGGATGGAATTTCATGTAGGACAATGTCACAGTCAGAAGCATAGTCAGAAGTTCTGTTTTCATATCTTTCCATTATTCTCTTGCAGATGGCTTCCTTCAATGACCCAGATTTCCTTAAACAACTAGAACTTGCCATAAAGTATGGAAGTCCTTTCTTGCTGCATGGTGTTGATGAATACATTGATCCTGTGATAGACAATGTCTTAGAGAAGAATATCAAAGTTGCACAGGGGCGAAAATTCATTGTGCTGGGTGACAAAGAGGTTGACTATGACAGTAATTTTAGGTTGTACCTGAACACCAAATTAGCAAACCCAAAGTATTCTCCTGCTGTATTTGGGAAAGCTATGGTTATCAATTATAAAGGTAAGCAGTGTGTGTCTATTAACAAAATAGTCATTATGCTGTTTGGGGCCTGGGTGGTTATCTGAAACAACAAACTTTACCATTTAAGAGTCTCCCTAATACTGATCATCTGATTTAATATAAAATTCTTCTCACTTCTCTCTCTTAATCTGAAACACAAGTGAAGATCTAGTCTTATACCTGTCAGGTTGGGATGCATTGGTACAATTCATATACAGTTATTATCCAAGCCGCTTCATTGCATTGCTGTGGTTTTATGAGATGATCAAGGTGAAATGAGTTGTCTTAAAAAGCTATCCTTGTTCTTTTAAGAAAGGCTGTGTTCTGTCTTTTATCTCTAGTTACACTGAAGGGCCTCGAGGATCAATTGCTCAGTGTTATTACGGGTTTTGAAAGAAGGGAATTGGAAGAACAGAGAGAACAACTCATCCAGGAGACGAGTGACAATAAGAACTTACTGAAAGATCTGGAAGACTCTCTCCTTCGGGAACTGACATCTTCCACAGGAAACATGTTGGACAACATAGACTTGGTGCAAACCATGGAGGAGACAAAATCCAAAGCTACTGAGGTACCAGCTGGTTGTTAGTTTCAATTTTTTTGTTTTTGTAGGATATGTACTTATGGAATCTCTTCTTTCTTTCTCATTGTGTTTCATTTTCTCTCGTGAGAACTCTTCATTCCTTTCAACCTAGTTCTTAGCTTCCAGAATGAACGTGTTGTATCTTTCAGTTTTGAGCACTATTTGTTTTGCATCAGAGAACATAGTCCAACTTTCAGGAAAGTCATTATTAGGACCAAAGTAATAGTTGTTCACAGTTTTAAAACAAAGAGTAGGTGATGTATTTCTTTCAGCTCTGGAACGATCTTTGTCTTGTATCATATTGGATCTGAAATGGAATTTCAAGTTATTTGTTGCTCAGGGAAGGTGTAGGGTATCTGTCCTTGGAGGCTTACAGGCTGGGCAAAGGCACAGATGACATGACCTAGTGGTGGCAGTAGTCCTGTTTTGGACAAAAAATTGAAGTAAATAACTCCAGAGGGTCTTTCCCATACTGTTTCTATGATCCTGTGCTAATCTCTGCCCTTAATTTCCATAAATACACAGAGTGGGACTCATTTATTCTAACCTATGATTTTTGAAATTCATCCTTCTTCAGGTTTTCTTGCCCAGATTCCCTACATAGTCAACAGTGAGAGGCAGGCAGTGGGAGGGCACAATTCTTCTGACTTAGTTCAGGTGTCTCCAATTGAATGGGGACTGTGCTTCAGCACTCAGCAGTGTCTTTTCCTCTCCACAAGCTATAGAGCCTTATCTTTGTACAGAGTCCTAAGAGAAATTTAATGTATTTAAAGCATTTAAAGATGAGTGACTTGCATTTTTACACAAATACGGTCTTCTTAAAAGTAGGCTAATATGTGAACATTACTAGTCTTCAGTGTCTTGCCTCCTGGTGTTTGTGTGCTTGTAACGCATGCTGTTAATTGCAGTATTTTTACATCCTATATGTTCATCATTGTTGTTTCAAAATAGCTTAGTACACTGATTATATTTGTATATTAATATGTCAGTGCATTAATTAGACCTGTATAAAATCAATGACTGGCAGGTGATCGAGAAACTTCATCTGGCTGCGACAACAGCGGCGGATATTGATCAGCTTCGAGACGGCTACAGACCAGCTGCCAGGAGGGGGGCCATTTTGTTCTCCGTTTTGTCTGAAATGGCAGTGGTCAACATCATGTACCAGTACTCCCTGGTCTCCTTCTTAGAGGTTTTTGGACTCTCTCTTCGGAAATCCATGCCCAGTCCTATTCTTCCCAAGAGATTAAAGAACATCGTGGACACGTTGACTTTCAACACCTATAACTACGGCTGCACAGGTGAGTGCAGTTTAATGACAGGTGAGTGAAGTTTAATGACAGGTGAGTGCAGTTTAATGACAGGTGAGTGCAGTTTACTGACAAGCTGATGCTCTGCTGTTCACCAGCTTTCAGCTGGTTTGCAGTAGAGAGGCAAATTCTCAAACAATAACAAATTCACTGATGTTGAGTTTTCAGCATAGTTCCTGGCTTACAATCACTCCCTTCTATCTGAAGTATGCATATTACAACTGAATTAAATAAAACCTTTCTTAATCCAATTGCAAACGGCTAATTGCAGATACGGATCTTACATTCCTGGGTATTTCTCACAGATGCCATTTTGACAAACTTGTACTCGGTCTGTAGTTCTGTAAGTCTGATCCAAACCCGTCTTCAGTCACCTTGATCTTCGTGGGGTGACCAGGTGCAGGATGTAGATCTAAAACACGTGGGGCTGGAGCAGATTTTTGAAAATGTTTTCCTTTTAACATAGGCTTGTTTGAGAAGCACAAGTTATTGTTCTCCTTTAATATGACTGTGAAGATAGAGCAAGCTGATGGCAGAGTTCCCCATGAAGAACTTGACTTCTTTTTAAAAGGTAATGTGAATATATTTGTATAGAAATATATATGTGGTGATAGCTAGAAGATCCTTCCAAGATAGATTTTGACTAAGGATGATTCGTGATAAATGCTAGCACATGAAGTCAGCTGAAATATGTTGTTTTACATGAGTTGTGGATTTTGCTATTGGTATTTTTTCACTTTGTTGAACAGCGAAAAGGTGAATCTCTTTTCTCTATAAATGCTGACAAATCTTGTGTTAGCTACAGATAATGAGAATGTTACCTGAGAAAGTAATCTCTAGTTATTTTCTAGCTACTTATAAGTAGAAATGCAAAGATGCAACGTTGGCTTTTGCAAGCACTTGTAAAATGCTATGTTTACTTCAGCAGACCAGTTTAATCTCACAGTGCTTCCAGAAACAAATTTCCAAACGGTTTCTCTGTGTGGTGGGACTGTATGTGTGGTCATGTACCAGAGAATTTATGACATGGACATTCACTTCAGTTTCTCAATGTGACTAGGCAATATTTCCCTGGAGAAGAGTGCACGAAAGAAACCGTATGCTTGGCTTCCAGATCAAGGCTGGGAAGATCTAATTCGCTTGTCTGAACTATTTCCTGAGCAATTTGAATCTCTTCCAGATGATGTGGAAAAAAATCCAGATGTATGGAAAAATGTACGTGCTTTTCTGCAATGCTATTCTCTTTCCTTGTTTTTCTTCTGGTATTAAATGTTCAAGTATGATGCAGTGTGCCATAGAACTCTGTAGGAGGCATGTCACCACTGGTGCTTTCTGTCAAGGCATTGCTTTTCTTCTTGAACTGAGTGATTGGCTTATTTGCAGAAGAATTAGGGTTCTTGTTATGAAATAACCACCCCCCCAAATCTTCTGTGCTGCACTGTACGTGTTTTATTTTCCAGTCATATGCCTTTGATGAGTTCTTTGCCCTGTTCAGTCAGTGGAATTTTTGCTGTTGATTTCAACGGTCAGTATTTCACTGTCGTTATTGTACTGCTACATCACACAAGGGCTGCTCTGACAGCAGTGCCTCCTGCCATAACACCGAGGTGGACAGTGGTGGTGTGGCAGTAGAGGCTGAACCTTCCAACCAATGCTTTGTACTCAGAAAGCTGAAACTTTTTAAATTTCTTGGCAGTGAATTGACTTTCTTCTTTGTTTCTCTTGTGTCGAATTGTTTTTGCTTTTCCTAGCAATTTCATTGATAGATCCACTTGATTGATCTGCATTGTCTCCCACCTTTTCTTGCCAGTGGTACGATACAGATGCTCTGGAGCAGATGCCATTCCCCATGCACTACCAGAACAGTCTCACAAACTTTCAGAAACTCCTCCTCCTGCGGTGTTTCCGAGTGGACCGAGTGTATCGGGCAGTGACAGACTATGTGACACTGACCATGAGTGAGAAGTGAGTCGCTCTTGTTTCAAATGTAAATGGCTTGTGCATTTCTCCTACACAGTGCAGCATCTTTTTTCTCTGTATTATTTCCATGTGCAGTCTGAAATGAATGTTGGTGTCTGTATTAAAGCCATCTTTTACACAACAAAATTGATACTTTTTTTGTAGAGCAGCTCACTGTGCTTCTTTTCCTACCAGGTATGTGCAGCCCCCCGTGATCAGCTTTGAAGCTGTCTTTGAGCAGAGCAGTCCTTACTCACCAGTTGTCTTTATCTTAAGTCCTGGCTGTGATCCCATTAGTGACCTCATGAAACTGGCTGAGAAGACAGGCTTTGGAGGGGATAGACTCAAATTCCTAGCCATGGGACAAGGCCAAGAACAGGTAACTTCAGTGGGAGGGTTGGGACGTTCTGTGGGCACTGAGTTGGCATGTGAATTGCAAATCATGCTTTTACTGTCATGGGCTTGTCCAAATTTCCTTTCTGAAGGCCATTGAAAATGAAGTTAATTTGTGCTTTGGAAATAGAATACAATTTGCCAAACTAGAAATAATGCTTTTATGTAAAGTGCGTTTGGTTGCTAGGTTGCTTTTATGGCTTTTGTGTTCAGCTGTTAAAAAGTAGTTGAGCTGAAAAGAAGTTGCTCTGTAGCCTTTCAAAGTAAGGACAGGGGTTGATCTGAAGTCACAGTATTAGAAAAACATGTTCTGCTGCTCTTTCTGTCTTTCCTGTAGGTTTTTTTTTGTTTTATTATGGACCTTAGGCTGAAACATCCACAGCTTAGCAACTGCTGAATTTGCTGTGATTTCAGACAGTGGAAGAACTCTGAGAAGCTTATTTAGATCTCCCCTTGTTAGACTCTCATCACCATCCTTTTCTGGGCCATGTACACTACTTCAGTGTCTTGAAGTGTTTCAGCAATCTACATGACTTTAATTTCAAAAGGGATTAATGAAAAAACAGCAATTGTTTGTGATATTGGTGCAATTCCATTTGCAGGGAAGAGTATTCTATTATAACTAAAAGACTGGGTATGTTTGCTGGCAAGAAGAAATCTCCTGCACTGACCCTGAGAGTTGGTTTGCTTTCATGGTAAGGGGAATGTTCCTCACAGACCGTTCTTTTTGTTCTTTTTGTCTCGTAAGATTGCCCTGCAGATGCTGGAGAACGTGGTGGTCAGAGGAGAGTGGCTGATGTTGCAGAACTGTCACCTTTTGGTGAGGTGGCTTATCACTCTGGAAAAGGCCCTGGAGAAAATCACAAATCCTCACCCAGACTTTCGCCTCTGGCTGACTACAGACCCAACCGAGGGCTTCCCCATTGGGATTCTGCAGAAGTCACTGAAGGTGCTGTGTGGAAGCCCAGGGGCAGGGCATGTCCTGTGTGCTCAGCAAAACAGGCTGATCTGGGGAGGAGTGGGACCTGAATGCAGCATGTTGACTTGGGCTGTGTACAAGCTTTTTGTTTTCATTGTCCAGATAGGTTTTTCATCGTCTTGTTTATTTTCTGGTGATTATTTTTTCCTTTGGATAACAGCTGTTAAGCAATTTTTTTTTTTTCTGGGGCTGTTAGTTTAGAATAGAGCTTTGAGAGTAAACCTGGAGATGTGACAAATACTCTTTACATTCATTCAAATGCTGTCACAGATACAGTATATCCGAGAGCCAGAAATAGTCCTGTCACCCCTGGTGCAGAGCTGAGGTCTGTCTAGCCTGGCAGTAGTGTCAGTGGAGCAGACACTGTAATAGGATAATGATTTCCAGTTGCTACTTCAGGCTGCAGCATTTATCACAAGCAAGCTGAGCTGATTATTTTGAAGGCACAAGCCATGATGCAGTTCTAGGTTTCTATTGTGTGACTGCTTTACTTCTGCTGTGGTGAACCGGTCCTTAATGTAATAACTTTATTTCATAGAGTTGATGGCAGTGGTGTATCAGATCCACCCAGTACGTGCTCTGCTTTATCACTGATAGCTCTGGACTGTTCACCTCAGCACTGCTTCTTGCCTCAGTGGGGAGAAGTGAGCACAAACATATTTCTGATTTAAGATTGCACACATGCACTTTCTAGGTCAAACCATAGGCAGCATGGTTTTACAGCACTTTGACAGTGCTGCCAGGAAGCTGACCCTGCTTTCATTTGATAATTAGTAAAGTCATAATAAAGGCTTAAGCCATCTTAATGTTGTGGTATGTAGGACACAGCAAAATATGTAAATTACTAGTAATGTTTCAGTAGATTAAATCAAAAAGTATGATAAAGCATTAATCTTTCCAATAAACAGCTATTTCTAAAATAATACCAGATTTCTCTTCACATCTCTGCTAACCTTGATAAAAGGTCAGGTGCATATCTTTACATACAAAAAAGTCCCATATTGGCATGAATTTAGAAGGCTGATCAGTTTTTTAGGCTTGCATTGTATAACTTTGCATGATACACTTACTGCTTGTTTTCCTGATGCTATTCAGTAACTGATGGTGTCCCTGATTATTGTGACAGGTTGTAACAGAACCACCAAATGGTCTGAAACTGAATATGCGAGCCACCTACTTCAGAATTCCCAAAGAGGCCTTGGAGCAGTGCCCACATCCTGCCTTCAAATCCTTGGTCTATGTGCTGGCATTTTTCCATGCCGTGGTTCAGGAGAGGAGGAAGTTTGGGAAGGTTGGCTGGAACGTACCGTATGATTTTAATGAATCTGATTTCCAGGTAAGAAAATAATGACAACGGTTCTTATGTTCTTGAGTTGCTCAAATTACTTTTGAAAACACAGAATCTATCCAGCTTCAATCCTTTCTTGCAATATAATTTATATTAACTCTTTTTTGTTGTTGCTGTGGTCTCATGTAGATTCATGATCTTCTATAATGTCAATTGTGATCACACTAAGGCCACAGAACTTAATTCTCAGTCATTTATGTTTGTATTTATATATGTTGTTTACATAAATGCATTTATTTAATAGCCCTCCCTTAGAGGTTTCTTTCCTTAACAAGATGTACGCTTTCTATTTCACTTTGTTGAGGAAGAAACTATTGTTAGTTTTCAAACAAGAACTGTGTTAAGTAAAATCATGGATGTGTGTAGCTGATTTTTGAATCTTGTTTTAACATCTTTATTAGGTCTGCATGGAAATTCTTCACACATACTTGACAAAAGCTTTCCAGCAAAATGATGATAAAATCCCCTGGAGCAGCCTCAAGTATCTTATTGGTGAGGTGAGCACCTACACTGTCACTAAATAATCCCTGAGCCGTGTCATAACATAGAGGTGATTCAGAATCTCTTCTGGGCAGTCCTGAAACTCCTGAGCAAGTCACTTACCCTCACTGCCTCAATAAACAGGGGCCACTGTGTTTAACTGTACAAGAGGGGAGTGATGATGCTTAATTCTGAGAGAGCCTTTGGGATCCTCTGAGGAAAGGCACTGAACAGCACAACTTCACAGTACTGTTAGTGCAGTGGACCGTGACTGATGTGAGAGCCGTACAAACAGGTATTTCCAAAGCATGCTGTCCTTGCTGTGTGCTGTGTAGCAGCTGGCCGGTTCAAAGTAGCTGCTGCCACACAGAATCTTACAGGAAGTTGTTACTATTTGGCAGCATTTAATCACAGCTGATCCTGAGCTGCTACTGAGGATGTTACTGTTGCGTGTATGTAAATACATCACCACCACTGGCTATCAGGAGTTGCCCAGAACAGCTTCCCTTGAGAAGGAGCTGGAGGAAGCCTTGAAGAGAGACAGCATTATACTCACACTATGCAGCCACTGCAATAGCAAAATGCTTTGGACCTTTCAGTGTTTGTTCTTTTATTTGTTAAACTCTATTTGCTGCCTCAAAAGTGGTATGTAATTAGTGTAATTATGTCTAGGTCATGTATGGTGGCCGTGCCATTGACAGCTTTGATCGTCGCATTCTGACTGTCTATATGGATGAGTACCTTGGTGATTTCATATTTGACACATTCCAAACATTTCATTTTTACAAAAATGATGAGGTTGATTATAGGATTCCACAAGGGACGGTAAAAGATGACTTTGTTGGTAAGCAATGCTTTCTCTTAGGTAAATTAGCAATAAATAAAAGAACTCTACTTGCTCTATATGTGCTCTGGTAGCTGTAGCATAATGTATGCATCACTATGAGGTGTGTTTTGTGTTGCAGTGGCAATAGAATGTCTGCCCCTCGCCAACACTCCAGAAGTATTTGGTCTTCATGCCAATGCTGAGATTGGGTATTACACACAGGCAGTTCGTGGTATATGGTCTCATCTTCTTGAACTGCAGCCTCAAACAGGTACATCCACCACCACTTTGGACTGCAAATAGGAACTAACAAGGTGCTGAACTGCACTGCAGGGATTGTGGTACCAAGTATGCTGCAGCCCCACAGCAGTCTGGGTCCTTTGGATTCCCACAGGCTGGCACTGAGGAGCTGCTGCTGCAGCACGGCTGGGCTCTGCCTGCCAGCACATGTAATGGCCTCACGGAGCAGAGGCAGCAAAGAACAGGGACCGAGAGGGAAGGAAAGCAACTGAGCTGCTGAGCCCTGGCAGCAGGGAGTAGTTCAGCACGTGCTCAGAGGAAGTGCTGGGCATGCAGGGAGGCTGCTGGTGCAAAGGTCAGTGCTGCACAGGGTGGGTAAAGAAGTGGGCGCCAGGCAGAGTCAGCCTTCAAAGTTCTCTCGTTAAAAATTAATAATAGAGGTGATACTTGTTCAGATTAGTCTCACTAAGCTGTTTTTCTTTCAGGTGAATCTGGTACAGGAGTTAGTCGAGATGAGTATATTGCTCATGTTGCTAAGGATATAGAAAACAAAATACCAGAAGTATTTGATCTCAGCAAGATACGCAAACATTTTGGACTGGAGCTGCCCCCAACAACTGTGGTGCTGTTGCAGGAACTGGAACGTTTTAATAAACTCATCATTTGCATGGCAAAGTCATTGGCTGAACTGCAGCGCGTACGTAGGAGCGCTGCTACTGCTGCTCACAGCAAGCAGCTGCAATCAGCTCAGGCTTTAATTGCCTCAGCTCTGGCACTCAGGACTGTCACTGTCGTTCCAGGCCTTGGCTGGGGAAGTTGGAATGAGCAGTGAACTGGACGATGTGGCTCGGGCACTCTTCAATGGACAGATTCCTGGCATCTGGAGGCGGCTGGCCCCCGACACACTAAAAACCCTTGGAAATTGGATTATTTTCTTCACAGATAGGTACAACCAGTACAGCACCTGGGTAAGTAAATGGAGGACTCCAGAAAGCTCTTTCTGTGTCTGTTTTATACGCAGTGCAAATTAGTGATGGGGTATGGAAGTCATTGAAATTTCACTGCTTTACTTAATTTGAACTTATGCCAACCAGTCACCACCCAGAATGAGAATGAAGCCACTGGCTAACCTTTAAGATTGGTCTCTGAGCTGAGGAGGAGGTTTGGTGGGAGAACAGAGCAAGCACTGCAGGCTGTCTTCTGTTCCTGATTACAGGTTAATGACTGTGAACCAAAGGTGATGTGGCTCTCAGGCCTGCACATTCCAGAATCCTACCTGACAGCTCTTGTTCAAGCCACCTGCAGGAAAAACAGGTGGCCCCTGGATCACTCCACCCTGTACACCGAGGTGACCAAATACAGGACTGCAGAAGACATCACTGAAGGGCCTACACAAGGTAGGTGACTTTATGATTATTTGAGGGGAAAAAAAAGGTTAATTGAGGCCGGAGGGGAGAAAGAGAAACTGCTTGGCCTGCTGAGTGGAATTAATTTGATTATACCGCTGCAGACAACGCATGCAGTCATGCCATTTAACAGTCCACGTGGTTACGAGCTGGGAATGGGCCAGGTTCAGGTTCCTGCTTTGCTGCTGAGCTGCTGTTTTCTTGTTCTTTTCTCCATATGCGTTTTCTTAATAAGGAAAATACTACTTCATCCTAGCAAATTCTTAAAGATACATCTACAGTGCAAATAATGTATGTAAACAAAAAGCTATGTGTGTAAACATACAGCTATGTGTTACTTACTATGTAAAGATATCCTTGAAGTTTTGATGGCTCGCAATGTTCTAATGACTAAATACAATGCACACAGGATATAGGGCCAGATTAGCATCTCTGAGTGTTAGACCTGACTGACGAAAACAGAGATGCTTTGCCCCTCCATTTCCAAACACAGCTTTCAGTTAATAACAAATCACTTTCTTTTCTGTATTTGCTAACATTCAAACCTCCACCTTTTGTTGGCATGATGTCACCATCAGAGTGACAAAGCTTGCTCAGAACTGGGCTGTTACACAAGCAAATAACTGGAAGAACAGCATCCACTGTACGAAAGAAAGCTGCAAGAAAGTCAGTATTTAGTCCTAATGCTGTTTATCATACATAATGCAGCTAAGCCAGTTTCAATTGGAAATTTGTCTTAAAGGCAGAGCTTGCAGCTAAGAACAAACACCACAGGTCAGTGACATGCCTCCCTGCAGGTGCAGTTTGTGAGTTCTGTCCTTACTGTGTCGGTGCTGAGGACAGGACAGCTGCTGCAGGAACAGTTGCCTTACACTGCCCTAGCAGCTTGATTTACACAAGATGTTACATTTCTGCCTTTGCAGGCTGCTTTGTTTCTGGCCTGTTTCTGGAAGGGGCAGACTGGGACACGGAGAACAGCTGCCTAACAAAAAGCAAGCCCGGGGTGCTGGTGGTGGAGTTACCCATCCTGAAGATAATACCCACTGAAGCACACAGGCTCAAACTCCAGGTACCTTTCCACTGGGGACAGGGATAGATTTGCTTATCAACTTCCTCCTATTTTAAATCTCAGTAGCTGCTAGTCCTTTTGCTCTTAGCACAAGCAGCGCCACTACTGCCTTCAGCATGTAAAATGTGCAGCATAAAGCTTCTCCTCCGTCCTCAGAGCGAATTTCTGAAGACACCCATCTCTTATAGAGACCCCTCTGGCTTCCACTTTCACGCAGTGCTTGGAGCACCACTCAGTGCCTCTTTTCCTCTTTAGAACACCCTCCGGACACCAGTGTACACCACCTCCCAGAGAAGGAACGCCATGGGCGTTGGCCTTGTTTTTGAAGCTGATCTTTACACCACAAAGCACATTTCCCACTGGGTGCTTCAAGGCGTTTGTCTCACTTTGAATGCAGACTGACAGTTTGCAGTTAGGCACTGCATTATCCTCACAGCATCCCCGGTGTGAGCGAGGGGAAGAAAGAAAAAGAGGCAAAGACTGAGCCCCAGGGTGGGGTCCCATTAGGCACAATTGACTTCCAGTAGTACATTACAACTGTGAGCTAATGGTATCAATAAACACTTCTAAAAATGAAGAGTTTTATCATTTGTATTTCCTCTTAGAAACACTTCAAACTGGTATGTGTGTGTGTAAATATATATACGTGTACATATATGTGTGTATATATATGGGAAAAATACATATATATATGGGAACAATGTAGTAAGGTAGCCTCGCAGACACAAAGACTAAGGTTTGGCTGTATGGTTGTAAGAAATGTTTTTAATTGCCCAAAGCATCACTTCTGCTGGGTTTGGAAGCGATGCCTTCCATCAGCCTTGAACAAGTGGCAGGGTAGCTCACTCATACAACAGCCATAAAAATATGGCAACAACCACCAAAAAAATCCCCAAACCGAAAACACTGCTGGTAAATACAATACACTGAGCACTCCAGGATAACAAACTTTCTTTAGCCAATTTTCCAGGAACAGAGCTTTTGCCTGTCCCTCCCCACAGTTCATGAAACAAATCCTAGCACACGGCTGGCAAGGCACAACGCTGACAAGCATTTCTTGGGCTTCTCAAACTAGCAAGTGCCTGAGCTGTGAGGGTGCACAGGGACAGGGCACAGGAAGCCTTCAGGTCAGTGGACATTCAAATCCTCTCTGACTGGGACCAACCCTGCTGTAAGTTAGCATGCTGCAGAGGGAAGTTAGCAGTACCACAGGTAGGAAGAACAGCTTTTTTCATCCTGTCAGTGCCTTTTTTGGGGGGGAGGAGGGAGAAAGCTGACAGATAGTTACCCAAGGCTCCAGAGGGAAACACACCAACACACAGCTGCAGAAAAAAAGCTGGAGGGGCAAATTACAGCTGGCAAGGGGAAGGAAAGAGGGCAGGCAGGGATCCTTCATCAGCTTTTACAAAGGTTACGTGTTCCAAATTTTTGAAGGCACATCATAAGCTTAGCAGCATTTGGGAGCTGTTTTTTCTTGCTGGTCCTACTCAGAGGCTGCAGACAAGAGTGAAGCAGAGGCAAGCTGGAGGTGCTGATCAGAATTTAAGAAAAACTCCTTTCCAAAAATTACATACACAGCTCTCAGTATGCCTTTCTTTCCTAGAAAAAAGAACAAAAAGAAGAAACAAAAATCAAGTAGTCTAACAACAGATGCAGGGTCTACCTGTTGCTAACTAGACAGGGGAACCAGGACAAGTACAAGGCAGGTGCATCCCAAGTGACTTGGATAGAAGTCAAGGATGCCAGGTTCTCCTCTTGTAAGAAGTGGGTAAGTCAGTTACATTTAAAACTGAGTACACACATTTTAGAGGCACAGCTCAGGCTTCTAAGCTGTTAGAAGTCAGAACTGACCATTGATACCCTGAATAAGTCTAAACTTTTCAAGAAAAAAAAAACAAAACACAAAAAGCAATCTTTATAAAAAAAGTGCAGGTTAGAGCATAAAGAACCATTCTCATACAGGACAGTCGGGTACATTTTCTCCCTGAAAAAAAGGAGCTCTGAGCCAGTATGGAAGGTGCCACAAGTGCAGTGTACTCACTGACTAGTGTAAAATGTGCATTGAGGGCGTTCAGTTTAAAAAAACAAACAAAAACATGTTCATACTCCTTCTGAGAGGACCATTAACCATTGAAGACAGTGATTTTTCCATGTTTCTTCCTCATTTTTTACTTAAAGCCACAAACCAAGTTATTTAGGACTAAACAATGCTTACTGGGACTCTCAGGACTTTGAGAAACTATGAACACAGTTCACAACTGAGAGCATTTGAAGGAAAAAAGTCCTTAGTTTGTTTTAAAGTGTATGTACAGCCCATGGATTTTCAATGCTACCGTGAGGAAGGCTTTGTCATGAAAGTTAATGTTTGTGTATGAAGTGCTACATACACAGTGAAGACAAAAGAACCATTGCTATTTCAAATGCTAACAGCCAATACCTATTGCTGCAGGTTAATAGGCTTGTTTTCACTAATATTAATAACACAGCCTGCAGCATGTGCCTTTGTCCACACGTGTAGATACAATAAATGGAGCAGTGCTCAGAAGCAAGCAGTCAGGTACCCCTGATTTGGCCACAGCATTTAGTAGTTATATACCTTGCCATATGAACACAGTCCTAGTAGGTATCAATAGAGGAGGATAATCTATTAATGATGTATCTGGAAGAAGTTTGGCATGCATGGGGCATCGAAAGAAACTTTACTGCAGGTGCTATTTATCCTATGGGATCACAGTGCATAAACAGCAACAGAACAGGGCAGCAGTGATTTGACTCAAACAGTTCTGTCCGTCCCTGAGTGCTTTCTGACCACCTTGCTTCCGTTGACCTGATCCACCGCCAGCGTTTCAACCTCTGCCTGAGGCTGGGGGGGCGCAGCGTGGTGGATGCGATGCGCCACTCCGACGTGCGCCTTGTGCGGCTTCTCTCGCGCTGGGCTGTGCGATTCGCCGGCTGCTCGATCCGAAGCGATGGGGGGAATAACCAGCGGCCTCTCCTTAATGAGGTGGACCTCCGACGTTTCTCTGGCCAACAGGAACGGAGTGGGATCAGGCATGGCATCCACGTGCTCCCTTAACAGCAGCTTCCGACTATCCGACCCTATTCTGTAGGCCTCTTCGAACTCCGGGTTGAGCGGTGTTGATAAACTCTTCTTCATTCTGCGCCGTGGAGTCTCGGGCAGTTTGTCTTTGGGAGGGGCTGGCTTATAGCTGGACAACACCGGACTGCCTGAAGGGGTCCCCTCCGAAGTCCCACTGGAACTCATCAGCTTCTTCTTAGTAGCGTGCAGTTGAGAAGTTAAATAAGCGATCGTGCTTGCTCTCTGCTCTAGTTCACTGGACAGCATATTGAGCTTATGGCTTTTCATTTTCAACTCTTCCAAATACTTCTTTTCTCTTTCTTTAATGGTGTTTTCCAGCACCATTATCATTGCATTCTTTTGTTCAAGTTCTTTCAATAATTCATTGTTTTCAGCCTCTTTGGCTTTCAGCTGAGCTTCAAGATCTTCACACTTTCTTTTGAGTTCATCACTTCTTGAACTAATGCTTCCTAGAAGAACAGGAAAAGCAGAAGCATTTCCAAGTTAACGATAGCCACTAAGAAAAATGCTGCAGCAGGGTTCTTTCTGGCATTCCAAAGCCATAGGAAGAGCCCAAAGACCAACCTCTGCCAATACTGTAGCAACTGCTTCATCTTCAGAAGCAGCAGGATGGCTTTTACTGGAAAAGGTGAGGAGTTAGTGCCACTCACTATAGTTTAAAAGATGCTTCATGCATTGAGAACAGGGATTACAGAAATTACTCTTGCAGAACTTGCTCCAAATTGGAGCTATCTTGCAAATTTTCTGGTCATTAAGAAGAACTTCTCCCCCAGTTAATGCCAGGTGGCTGGTGAGCATGATGGAACAGCTGTCTCAGCTTACCAAGAGAGGCTGAAGCTTTAGTTTTGGCCATTCACAGATGGCTGAAGCCTGTGACTCTGGAGGCACAGTGGGTTCTCCTTGCTGCTGTAGAAGTCACCCTGGGGCTCAGGTGTCTGAGCCTGCCTGCCTTCTCTTCACAAGAACGCTACGCATCACTCAAGCTAGGGGATCTTGCACTGGTGAGGGCATGCCCTCAGGGACAGGCTGACCCCACCATAGGGTGATGTCTCTAGTTATTACAGCTGGACACTTTCCCAGCTGCTCAGAAGAGATCTGCAGCCTGAATTTCTCCAATAAGAAGCCCATCTCCATCTTTTTAGGCCCATCTCCCTACCCTTTCCCCTCTGGGTTGTGGGTCCCCCCCCATTAGCCACGGAACCAGGCCTAACCAGCCTGTAAATATTTGACACTTATGACATTTACTTCATCAATAACAATGATTCTGAAAAGGAAAAAGCTACTCTTACACCATTTGAATTTATAGCCAATAATATCCCATATGTAAAGTATTCTCACCTACTTGTAACAGAGAAAATAAAACATTAAAAAACATAAGTCAATTTAATGTGAACATCAAAGAAAAATGCCATGTATTCCTTACCTGACAAGTCTGAACTCTTCACAGTCAGCTCATAGGTTAGGTCTGAGGGAAATAAATAATTACTTTTTTTAGGACAGCAACATATAAGCCACTCAGTAAGCACATTTAAAATAACAGGAGATGCACTGCCAGTTATCAAATCTTAAGCAACCAGAACAAGAAGGTAACAGGCTTTTATTTTTTTTTTTTAATATTAATAATAATAATAAAAAAATCACTGCTTAACGATCACATTTGTCATGCCCTGAGATACATAAATCCAAAAGATACACTGTGATGGGCTCTACAGCAGTTCCCCCATCCTTGTGAGAAGAGGCAAGCAGTGACCCTGCCAGCTACCTGTGCAGTGCTGCTGCAGGCGCCGGATCTCGGCATGCAGGCCCTTCAGGGTGCTGGCGTGTTCTCTCTGGAGAAACAAGAGGTTCTTCTGGGCACTGTGCAGCTGATTCTCCAGGTTTGAAGTTGCCATCCTGGCATGCAGTTACTCTGCCAGTGAACAAGAGGTAGAATTGTATCAATGACTTCACTTGCAGATAGATATAAAGATCCTCACTCTGCAACCTGGTTCAAGACAAACAGCTGAATTATACTGTTAATGAATTAATATGTAACCAAGCAAGTGCCTCAAAAGTGAAAGGTTTTCCTGTTTCATGCTATTTCAATTGGAAGTACTCTCATTTCAGACAGCCTAATTTAACTCTAGGCCAGAGCAGCATAGAGAACTCATTTTTTTGGAGTTAACGCATTTAAAGGATTAACTTCAGACAAAGTCACTAATCCTGTTATAACATAAAAGTAGAATTCTGAGAAACCTGGCCATAATGCCTCTGTCTAGCTGGGGGTTTTCCATTTACCTCTGGGGATACAGGAATTAGAAACATCCCTGGACAATAACACAGGAGAAAGGACTAAATTGCACCGTCACTACAGAGAAATACAAAACAAGGGATCCTTAATGCAGCTGAGTGCAGCCACGCACACTGCACTGGGAGGAGAGCTCTCTGGCTGCTGCTGCTGCTATTGCATTTCCTCACTGTGCTCCAGCCAGCACTAGTGCAGTCCCCACGCCACCAGAGCCTGGCATCCCACACAGTGACACAGTGAGTAAGATGGGGGACAAGCAGAACATGTCATTTAAATAATAAACTTGCAGAACGGGCAAGTTCTGGAGAGCCAGAGCGATGGGCAGCAGCACATAACGGATGGGAATCTCACAGCCATCAGGGGGAGAAATGCCATCCTCCCCAGGGCAGCACGCAGCACAGCAGCCTCCTCCCAGGAGCAGCAAGGACAGGTCTGTGGGTGCAGCCAGTGATACTGGAGTGCTGCCGGGAGCCACGCCATCCAGCAAGGAGACAGGAGGCAATGCTGGGTTCAGCAGAGCTGATGCTTTGCTTTGCCATGTCACTACTAAGGCCCTATTTGGTTATTTCAGTTATCTACGTTCTGTAAAAGCAAGTTGCATTATTTAGATTACAGAGATTCTCACTGCCTGGACAACCGTGTACAACTGTGGAACCCCATGCTGTGCAAGAGACATATCTTAATTCTGTTCCCTGGCAGGAGACACAGACAACCTTAATTGGTTCATATTGGTACGTGAAATGTTTTCCATTGTGCTCTTTGTGGTGTGTAGTTTTAAGACACAAATTTCATTCTACACATTTAAAATAAGTAGAACACATACCCTGAGAAAGCAACACGCTTCTGTCATTCATAAAGATAACACAGCCCTGCTTTAACTGTACATCTTCCATTACAAAAGGAACTTTTGATGTTTTATCAGGGCTGTAAGTCTTGATACAAACATGTCTGCACGCAGCCTTCCCAATTCCATGGAAATGAGTGTGACAGCAGGACAGAACCAGCTTCAGAGCACATGCCATCAGCAGGGCAGGAGCCGAGAGTGCACAGAACACCAAGGCTCAAAGGGATGTTTATCAAATGTATTTCCTGACAAATGCTCTAAGCAGCAGCAGCGCTACGTAACCAAGCCGCCCATACGTGGCAATCTGAAACCTTCACTACCAGCGGTTACTCAGCATTGCCAGGTTTGGTGTCTCTGTCACCTCAACAGACAACAAATTCACCCCTAGCAACAAACAAAAATGAGAAGTACTTACAACTCGACTCCTCAAAAATACACTTATTTTTAACCTTTTAACTTCCAGTGTGAGAAAAAGCAAAACAGACTCAAAGCAAAACAGTTAATCTCTTCATCTATTTTTCCATTTTCATTTTGGTTTCTTGCATTTTAAAGACCACACCAGGATTACCTAGTCTGAAGGAAAATAATCAGAGGCAGGCTAGCTTTATTGGAGAAGGCAGAAGATAAAAATGATCAGCACCAGAGCATCATTTCCCCTGCAGCACTGGTAAGTTAATCAGTGAGCGCAATTAAACCAATCCGCTCTGATGAGTTTCAGCTGCAGCCCCTCTATCAACAGTCCCTCCCTCCCTTCTGATGGAGATCACAGGGCTGGCATTCCCCCAGGCCGCCCGCAGCCATGGCAGAGGTGATGTGGAAGGGAAGTGCCCCGTGGTGCAGCCACAGCACAGCATTCATAGACAGCAGCTCCAGTGCTTTTCCTCCCTCATTCGTGCACTAGGAATTTCCTTCTAAGCTGCAGAAGCATTCACACCGCAGTCTGCACAGCTCTCACACACCAGTGCATCACATGCGTTTTCCCCACCTCTTATTTTTCCCCCATAGGAACTTTGTAGCCAGTACCTAACTAGAGAGCAGGCCAAACTAACAAAGCAAAAGCCAGCTACTGAGAATATACTCCTCTTCCTAGAATGGCATCACGTGCCCTACAGATAATACAGCCAAACTGGACACCGGATGACTGGAGACAGAGGCAGGATGCACAGTGAAGCAGGCCAGCAGCCCAGCTGACCTAGGAGGGAATGGTCCTCAGCATGGCCATACCCAGCACACCCAGAGCAGGAGCTCCACAGATGGAACACTGCTGGTGCCCCCTCCATGAAACACCGTGCTAACAGGGACTGCTATAATGCAGTTTCAAGATTGCAATAAACTCCTGCTTCTCCAAACCATAGTGAATGTGCACTGGCTACAATCAAGAAGTGAATTTAAGGGGTAAAAATGCAGGTGTCAGCCAAGTCCTTAGCAGCCCAGATGAGCAATCTTCACCCTCACCATGGAAATCAGTGGGGCAGATTTCAAAGCAACCAACTCCTGGCTGGATTTCATCAGACAGATTAAGCCAATGCTGGAAAGAAAGCTGTGACTGCATACACCACAGAACAGCTCTGTCACCATGGTTTTTCCTCCTTCCTCTTCAGTGCTTTTTCATTTATTTTTTACAAAAAGTATCACGTGGTGCAGAGCTACCACATTGAGCCACCATCCCTACCTGGCAAACAGCAGCCAGGGATGCACGTGTCATTGGATAAAGATGACAAAGCATTAAAAGGGGCAGAGCACTGTCTGACACCACAACAGTAACACAGCCCTCTCCTTACAAAGTGAGGCCAGCACCAAAGCCCGCTTCCCAAGCTTTATTTGTATGGTGTGCTGCATTCCATCCTTGCACATGCACTATTTCTCATTTCCCAGCATCGCAACCATCACAAAACATCTCTAGCTATAGCTGCAGATGTAGATCTGGAGGCAGCTCAGATTAAGCCTATGAACAAGAGACTCCAAGGCCCAACTTCATCACATGCTCATCACAAACAACTGCTAGCTTTTCAACAGACAAATCTTGCCTTGCGGAAGCCAAGCAGGCTGTGGGCCTTTTCTGATCGTAGGCACATGGATGGAGTTCCAAGTACATCAGTGAAGTGAGTGTTATTTTGGGGCTGTGCTCGGTGCTGGGGCACAAGGTCAGAGCACACCTACGCCCCACTGCAAGGGAAGAGCCAGAAGATGCTCATCTATGGTTTTAGACACAGCCTAAAGGAAGCCACCAAAGCGCAAGTGACTGTAGTTATTAAAGCCACCTGCTTGGTATCCAGTGCACAAACCAGACGGGGTGACTGTCACCTGGGAAGCCACCTCAGCTCCCTGCCAGCAGATATGGGCAGGCTGTGATCTTCCTCTCCACTGCTACCCAGCCATCGCTCCCTTGGAACGTGACAAAAGCTGCCAGAATGCTTTCTGTATGCAGCACAAAACACAACCTCAAGAACCAATTAAGGACATAAGTTCTCTTGGAAGAACCTTATATTGAACTGACCAAACATTCCTAAATGTATCCCTAACAACAAAACGCCAACCAACAGACACTTAGCTGTTCTTTGCTTAGATCAGCTCTCCCATCTCCACACACTTATGCCATCCCAATAGTGTTTGTTCAGCTTATTTCAAAGGACGTCCTGAAGGAAACCACGCAGTCTCTCTCTCCACAGTCAGCTCAAGCTCTGCTATCCTGCACAGGCATTTGCTTTGCCCCCTAGAGCCAACCCAATGCCACGATTTTCCTACTGATGCAGCCCCAGCAGTAGCACAGCCCCATTCCCTCCTATTGCACAAGTTCAGATTTACAGTCACCCCTCAGTGCTCTGTGCACTGGATGGAGCCTCTCACCAGGCACTACTTCCCACAGCCGGGCTCTCAGACCCGCACACAGCCCTGCCCTCAGCATGCCATGCACTGCACAGCCACGGCCTTAGAACAACAACAAAACATGAAAACAGGCTGCAGCAAAGGTTTGAGAGCTGCTGCAGGGAATGCAGTGGCAGTGATTAGTTGTGTGTGCACCCACCTGTAAGCAAGGATACCAAGTCTGACTGCACACACAGAACACCGAGACAGTTACAGATGTGGGCACCTGATGCCCTCACAAGGATCCAGGAGAATGAAAAACCATACAGAGCTCCACTGCACCTTCACGAGGAGCAAGGAGCAATCAAACACGTGAGAAACATGCACACCTCCATCATCAAGGAGCCCTGCCACTGCTGGCACAATTCATGTGTTCTTCCCACACAGATGGATGCTTCTAGCAGCAAACCAAGGTACTGCTCCCATTTCTATTATCACCCCTTTTAACACCCCCAGAAGAAACGAGCTGGGAAAGCATCACCAAAGTTATTCACTGATCACGCAGATCCTGACCAACACCCATTGTAGCACTGCTGGATGCCCTCACTTACAGCAAGACAACACTTCCCAGGTTCTGGAATAACAGCACTGGGGAGTTTTTGTTGCTGTTAGAGAACCAAATCATTAAAAAATGAACACAGAGACAAACGAGGCACCCATTCACTGTAGACAATACAAATGTATCAGGGAGGCTGGCTCCTACCAACAAGCGAAGCAACCAGAGGGAAGCACAGCCTCCAGCACCCATACAGGAGCACGTCCCACATCGCTGCTGGCTTGGCAGCGCAGCACCGTGCACTCAGGGCAGGCTGTGGCCAACAGCACTGCAGCTCCGGGCAGCGCAGCTCAGCCAGCACAGCTCACTGCAGCACCCCGCCACGGCTGGCAGCACTGCAGAAGGCACACAGGCACACAACCTGCTCTCCGTGCTGCTCTGTTTCGCAGCAGCTCCGGTGCACACAGCGGCTCGCTGCGTTCTGCAGCAAAGCACCGTGAACCAGGCCGCACGGAGCCCAGCCTCGTGCCACTGCCTTTTTCAGCACCAAAGTCCTTCAGCCTTCCCTTTCTGTTTGTTTTTTAAACCACGGCAGCAATGAAACGACAATCAGTGCTGTGTCCGGTCAGAGCACACCCATCTCCTTCAGACACAGATCCCATACGCTGGTCTTTCAGTGAACTGCGGCTCATAAAAGCCCCTCGGTGTTAGCTGCTGTCACCTGTGAGCCATTGGTAAGCATTGGAATGCTGCAGACAAATGAAGCTATCAGTTCTCTGTGCAAAGCCAGCGCCACTCGTTACATTCCTTTCTCTCCTTACTGTGAGAAATGAGGTGAGACGGGAACTTGACCAAAGGGGTGAATTACATAAACGTTCCCTTTACCCAGGGAGATCGCAAGGCACTGCCAAACTCAAGGATACAAAAGCAATCCTTGAATATTTTGCTGCTTTAGAACAGTTTTTTAACCCAGGAAGAGTAGCACTGGAGCCCAATAGTACGGGAAGTAAAGCTTCAAACTCGATCACTGCAACTGTGTATCTTCTACTACACCGCTTGTAACGCTCAGGACATATTTTGGTGTGCATTACGCCCCAGGTTCTGGAATAACAGCACCGGGGAGTTTTTGTTCTGCTGTTAGAGAACCCAATAATGCAGCAGACCCGAATGAACACATTGCCCTCAATACCTGCAGCCTTCGAGCACACACCGCAGGTTGATTTTTGTCCGTGAAATGATAAAACGCATTAAAAAAAAATTGGTCTGAAAGCCCTAAAAGCGTGCAGTTCTACCTGGGATCTGAAATAAAGGGCGCAGCTTTAAGGAACGCAATTAAACTCAGCGACAACGACCTCAACAAGGACGGGGCTGAGGACTGCACGCAGCTCCGGGCCGCTCGGGAGACCTCCGTCTTTTTGGAAGGGAACGGGGAGGAACCGCGCAGACACAGCGAGCGGAGCGCGGGGAGGGCGGAAAGCAAAGGGCGCGGAGCTGCGCCGAATCCACATTCGCTCCGTCGGCAGCCGGCACCGCGCCGCGCCGGGACTCCAATTCCCCGCACGCAGCCACGGGCGCGCCCCAAAGGGTTCGCCAAGCGTGGAGCGGCCCGAGCGCCGGGATCCGGAGCGCCGAGCCTCGCTCCCAACAAAGCCGAGACGATTACCTTCGCCTACGGGCGAGCTACACGGCAGACCGGCGCCGCGTTCGCAGCCGCATCCGATCCGTCCGCACCGCCCCGGCCCCGCTCGGCGCGGCCACCCGGCGCGCCCCAACCCCGCAATGCAGATCGCCCCCGCCCCGGCCCTCCGCCGCCCGGCCCCGCCCCCGTCGGTTCCGCCGTGCGGCGCGGCATCGAGGGGCCGCCACCCCTGCGGGCGTCGCCGGGGCGACCCGCTGCCCCTCGGCCGGGCGGGGACGCGCGCCGCGCCGCGTCTCCTCGTCCGCGGCCCCTCACCTGCTCTCGGCCTTCCGAGGAGCCCTCGGACCGCCGCTACCCGCTCATCGCCTCGCCGAGCCCCGCGGGGCCGCCGCTCGCCCACCGGCCGCGGGGGGGGGGGAGAGGTACGGGGGCGGCGGCGCAGGCGCAGGTGCGGTTGCGGCAGCCCGACCCGTCGCTATGGCGACGCGGGTCAGCGCCGCCGGCGGCCGTTGCCGTGGCCACGCCCGCTCCGGGAGGGCGCGCGCCCGCCCCGCGCGCCGGGAGCGAGCTGAGCGTGCACCGCGCGCACCGTTTGGTGCGGGGGGCGGCACGTGCACTTGCGCGTGCACGTACAAGCCGTCTGCGCTTTCGGAGCGGCTCCCGACAGCTCACGTGCGCACGCGTTCCCGCAAGTCCTCCGCGTGAAGCGCGGCTGAGCGGCACTCGGCGCGACCGAGAGCGAGGCTGGGATCCGCGCCCTGCGCGCGCGCCGTGTCTCTGCGCTGTTTGCTGCAGGACCACGTGCGGCGGCCTGAGCTGCGCGGGCCCCGCCTCGTGCGTGGCGCGTCCGGGAGCTGCTCCGTGGGGTTGGAGATCCCTTCCCGCAGCACCGGTTCTGCGACGGGACGGAGCGGCCCCCGCGCAGCGGTGCGGTAGGGACGGCTGGCACGCGGTCCCGCAGCTCAGCGCTGCTGTGCTCTCTAGCGGGGCGCTGTGAGCATCGCTGTTTGCTTTCAGTTTTTAGCAGCGGCTCCAATAGATCTGCCTGGCCTTGCTCTGGAAGGAGCAAACTGCTCCCTGCAGCAGTGGATGGCCGGAGGGGCTTTGCATGCTTGACATGCATTGACCAGAACACCGAGTGCGCGCTGCCCTCATCTCAAACATTAAATGTGCGCGTGAACTGACCTGCTGCCCGGCTGTAAAGCGTTGCTGTGGCTGCGAGGAGGCAGCAGCCCTTTGCTGGGTCGGCTCCTTATCTCCACCCACCAACCACGCGTTTGAACAATCCATTATTTTTCAGCACTAACTCAGCAGGTGGATGTAAGCCAGGACGGTGACTGCACATTTCCTAACAATGTGAAGCACTTCCCACCTTTCAATTATATCATGGGTCTTTCCCAGGAGCCAGGGCTCCTGTTTCAATCAGAAGATGTGTGATCAGGGTCCAAATCTGCTTTCCAAAAGCTCTTCAGTTGAACAGCTGAGCTCAGTCAGTCCACAAGACACAGAGCCCAAACCTCGGGTCACTAACAGAAGACCAAATGGATTTTTTTCTGGGGCAAAAGAAGACCTGTGACATCTGCATGTCACGTTCAAAGCTTTTGCAAAAACAACAACAGCAAAATCTATCAGCAGTCACTGACAGATGCGTGTGTGCATGCCCAGGCTCTGCCCATTGCATTCTATTGAAGATCACCAGGGAAAAGGGCAGTGACCCCTGTGTTCAGGGAGCACAGTATGGACACACGACCACCTGCATTCTGTCTGACCTGCTGGATGTGCTGTAGCTGTTACCTTGCAGTAACTCTCACTGCATACACTCACACACAAATCTGTGATTGCTTCCTTTCCGGTCAGTGATGGAGTGGCTCTGGAGGAACAGATTCTCAGTGGGAGATGCGCCCTTGGGCCAGAGAATTGTTAAATCATCAGCATCAAGAAACCTCCTGCAATGGGACCTGACAGCTGTACGGTACTAGGCTGAGGCTGTGTTTATTCTGGAGTATTTGCCTGGCTAACACAGAGCTTTTTTTTTTCTCTCTGAGTAATTTCCCATCACTGCTACCACATGGGTTCATTTCCACGGCAGAGGAAGAGAGGAGGCACTGGAGCTGTCAATAGCTGAATCAGTACCATCATCCCAGCAAGAGCTGGAGCTGATGCTCTCCTCCCCACAGGGTACAAGCAGGCAGACAGCACAAAATCCTGCCTGCACCTCAGTGAATTCAAGCGCAGAAGAATTGCAAAACTACAGCAGGGGGTCCAGAAAATCCTCCCCCAACCACTGTGTTGTAACCCTGCTGAGTGTTCGGCACCCCACTGAGTCAGCATGGCTCTGTGCACAGTCCTACCACCAGCTCAGGTCATGGAATCATAGCATCATCAAGGCTGGAAAAGACTTTTAAGATCCCCCAAGCCCACCCCCACTGTGCACACTGAGCACGTCCCTCAGTGCCACATCCCCATGGTTCCTGACCTCCTCTGGGGATGGTGATCCCCCACCTCCCTGGGCAGCCAGTGCCTGTGCCCATCCTGCAGAGCTTTATACCTTATTGGACAGAGGGAGGGAGGAACACAGCACTCATTTTGCAGATGGGAGATTCAAGGCATGGAAATATTAAATAACCTGCCAGAGCACACTGGGAAGCTGAGCTACACTGCTGGAGGGCTTGCCTCACATTTTGAAAGAAATGATCTCTATTCCCATGGAACAGAACAGGCTTACTGCTAGCTAGGGAAGTACAGATGCCTGTAATCTGCTTTGCAAAGAAAATGGGCTTAAACAATCAGAAAACAGCACAGGATCTGAGCGTGCACTGTGAATCGAAAACACACTCTAGCCTAGAGGTGCAGCATTCTGCCTCTACACAACTCAGTGCTCTGTTGCCTCCAGGTGAGAAAAAACAAACAGGTTTTGTTTTCACTTCCCTGATAGTGGCTGGTACTGACCTGCAAATTGGTGTCGTGTGTGGCTTTTTTTCTTTTTTCTTTTCCTTTTTCCTACGCTGTAAAATAATTAGGCTTGTTCCCCAGTTAGTTTTGCTCCTTGCATCTGGGAGGGTTTGTGCTTGCTGTTGAGGAGCACTGCATGTCTGGGAGCTGTAAAGATGTCTGTGGTTTTATTGCTAGACTTTTACAAACCTCAGGTTTGTGTTTTTATGATGATGACTGCTGTGAGGACATGTAAAAATACTGTGTTTCACTGTGCTGATCTTCCTCTTGAAGTTTCAGGGAGTTGGGAGTCACTGGCAGAACGCACCAGGTTGGCTCAAGAGAACTCCTTCACCCCAAGTTCTGCCTTTGCCAAGCTGGAGAGGCACAGGCTGTGTTCACTGATTAAACTGACAGGTCCAAGGCAGTGCAGAGCTGCATGAGAACAAAGCAGGGCATGCTGTGGTGTTCACAGCCCCCTCTTACCTTAGACTAGCAGTAATACTGAGACACAGGGATGCACTGACACTTGCCTGCTGTTAAGCTGTATCAACTCTCTCATTACCAGTCAGGGGAATTCTAAAACCTCATCGTTCTGCCTTGAAGTTACAGGATTGTTTCCATTAGCTTGCTGAGAAGACCAGAAAGGCACATGGGAACCTGCAGACACAAAACTTGTGGTCAGTTTTGGCTCTCATCTTTTTATCGTGTTCGATTTCAAAGGAGCCCAGAGAACCTGGCAACCATTAAGGAGTTGGTAATACAGCTGTAAATTACATTGAAGCGTCCCGAAAAGAGCCAGTTTTCAGCATTTGGAAAGAAGAAAGTTAAACTGCATTTACTGTATAAGCTGTGGCAAACATTCAGCCCTTCCAATTGATGGGATGAGGATGGGAACAGCTTAGGTTAGGTTATTTTTAGATGCTGGGAGTAATCCTGTATTATTTATTATGGTTTGGTCCAGCCACTGATAATGACAGTGCTGCAGTCACTGAGTCTCTGCCTTAAATAAAGTATTCATGGATGCCATTAAAACGCTGTTGCTCATGTCCTCAGCAGATTTTGCAGTGATGAACTCTGAAATAAAGGTAGGAGGAAAGGATGCATGAGCAAGAGGCAGGAGTCACTGGGGGCCCAGCGTGCTGCTTTGCCTTGGCCCTACTGCTGGTCTGTGCCCTTTTGTGAGGCAGATCCCTTCTGTTGGCACATCTCCTGGCTGGGACTGATGCTGTGCAAGTCTCTGGTGCTTGGAATAATAGGGCTGAGATGTCGGTGGAGGATTCTTGGCATCAGAGGGATGCCAGCAGAAGATAATCACCAGCCCGAAGTCACTGGGTTGCATAAACACAAAGCTGCTCCATCAGACACAAACCCCTTCTCTGGGCTTGCTGAAGGCAGAGCTGTTCCTGCTGCAGGCTCCTCCGTGGGTCTCCATGCATGGCTGGGGTGTGGGCAGAGCTGGGCTTCAGAGAATGGTTCTGAATAAAACTAGGAGAGATAGAAGGCTCTGTGTTTTGTTTTGTGTTTTCCCATACAGGGTATGGTGGTTTGGCATCTGCCAAGTGAACAGATTAAGAACAGATGGGAAAAGATGTGAAACCCCATTGATCTCTGAGGGATTATTTCAGAAACAGAGCACAAGCACACGCTGGCCCCTTCTCTCATGTCCTTTTTGCAAAGACTGCCCCGAATGTGCTTCATGCTGGTGGAGAGCTTCTCTGCCCCTGCACCTCAGGCAGCTCCAATCTCTTGCCCCTCTCTGCTCTGCCCCTACCAGCCCCCACCATCTTATGCCTCATTCAGGCTGTACTGGGGAACTGCTTATGGAGAAGGGCTGCACTCTGCCCAGTACATGCAGCCTAAAGGCACAGACTCCCTGACAACCCTCCTTTGTCTGCACTGCAAGCAACCAGCTTAGCTCCAATTCGTGGTTGGATTACTGTCCATCTGTAAAACAAGTCAGATTGCGAACTCCACATAACACATCCTTACCCAATGCTATCCCTAGGCAGAGCATCACCACATGCATTTTTTATTTGCAGCCAGCAGAGGACACTTGTTTTCTTTGCAAAAAGCTTGCCCTGTGCTTGGATGGGAGAAGGCAAAGAAGAGAAGATTCAGAACTTGGCCACATGTGGGCACTGGAATAGCAAGAGATGGGCCTGGCCTTCTGGCCCCAGGGTCTGGTGGCGCCTTTTTCCTTGGCCTTTCATAAGGAGCTTGAGATGTGCCTGCAGCACGCTGTAAATGTGGGGTGGGCTGTGCTGTGTTCCCTGGGCCATGTGATGGCTGTCCTCTCCTGTCTGCAGCCCCCAGCTGTGGTGTCACCACGATTCATTCCTTGGGTGGCAGGAGGCCATGTGGGTGGACTTGGCATCAGGGATGCTGGTAGCAGAGCAGATCTCAATGCAACATGCAAAGCCTTGGCAAGTGCTGCTGCTGAGCTTGAGTAAAGCTCTCTATTGCATGGCTGGTGATTTGTGGGAAGGTACCTGAAAAAAAAGAGGAGCCTCAGTGGAAAGCCCTAAAGGTGCAGGGAACCTTTGAAGTACACTGCACTCACTGTGCTATGTAAAACTATCAGTCCTATCTGACCACTAAGCATGCCTCTTTAAACCATTTCCTCTAGGGATTCAATGTACCATATGCAGAAAATACAGCCTGAATAATTTTGCACCATGTTTGTGCTCCCAGAAATAAATACATACCTCAGGTCCCGAATGATGCAGTAGGAGATGCCCAAGGAGCCCAGATGAGTCTGGATTTTGGTTAACCATGCTATATCTTCCCATTCCAACTGTCCTCTGGAAGGAAATAATTAGTCTTGAATCACAAGAAATCTTGCTTTTAACCGAGCCACCTGGATCAATCAGTATTCAACTAATCTGTACCACAAACCAGCCTTAATATATTTCTCTGAGGAGTATGTGAAAATGGTGGAGCCTTCCAAGCATGGGAACAGCACTTTGCAGGCTGTGTGGTGCTGGAGCTGAGCCTGAGCATGCTCTGTGGTCTTTGCACCCTACCTGGAGCTCCTTTGTCCACCCTGGCTCTTGCTGATCTGATGCTGCAAGGATAGATGGAGCTACAAGCCACCAGCCCCCTCACCTTCCAGTGATCCCACCTGCCTGTAACTGGGACCAGCTTAGGAGAGGAGCTGGAAAGACCCACCTGGCTCCATGATACAAACTGTCTCCAGCCAAAGCTAGCACAAGCCAAACCTCTGGCACAATTTGAAGGACAAAATTCCAGCATGCTGAAGCACGATCTGTATCAGCAGACAGATAGGCAGAGCTTGGATCCATATCAGTAGACCAAAAGTCTTTGTTCAGTGACCCTGCTCTGGCCATGAAAGTCCCACACTGGACTTTAAAGATTTGTCAGCTGGAATCAAACAGCTTTCTGGTTCCTTTCAGGCCACATGAGTGAGATGTACCAAGACTTCCTATTCCATTAACAAAGACTGCTGGCAGGCCTACATTTGATGACTGTCTAAACAATATGAAGAGGTGGTGATTTGCTGGCGACGTGTGAAAACAGGCAACAAATCAGCTGGCAACATGCATGGGATTGAACTTAAAGCAAAGCAAAAGGAAGATGACTTTGAATGGGCTCCAAAGGTCATGGGGAAACAAGCAAAAATTGATACAGTTCACTGGAAAACAGAGCAAGCAGAAGGAGCACTGAATCTTCTTGGCACTGAGAGCTGCTGGCATCTATTTGCAACAAATGTATTTCTGAGTTAAAAAAGAAATGGATGTGAAGGAAGGCTGCTGGTGTAAAAAAGATGAACGGGTACACAGAGGCCTGTCTGTAACAGCCCTGAGGATGCAGAAAGCGTGGTGCTGGGAAGGGCTGAGTGCACCAGAGTCAGTGGGAGAATCACCCTCAGGCTGATACAGGGAGCTTGGGAGCCAAGGAACGGGTCAGCCTAACTGTGGTGGGATGTCTGAGCAGAAGGAGAAAGTTGGGTAGTTTAGAGGTTATTCAGCTATGTTAAGGTGTGCTCTCTGAAACACTACTGACACACGAGTCAAAAGTTTTCACCATTTGGTAGTTGGGTTGGCACAACATTGAATTATCCCTGCAGCTTGGGGCTGACAGCAAATGCTTTTCAGACATAGCTAGATGTTCTAGAAAGGATAAAGCAAGCAGGAAAATCACACATATCCCCTTCTCTCTTGGCTGTTAGCAAAGGCAGAATCTAGCCATCAGAAATACCACAGCACACACCAAACCAAGAGGGTATCACTGCTCCCAGCCAAAGGCACTGGGCATTGGGGACACAAGGGAGAGCTCCTCTTGAAGGTCCCAGTTTCAGGTCTGTTAGAAATGGCTTGGTTTTGTATTGCCAAAAATTGTACCTGCTCCAAGCTGCTGCATGTCCTCTGCCATGGGTTGTGAGTGACACATGAGCTTCATCTGAGGGAGGGACATCTCGGTGGGTTCTGGTCTGGGTGGAGGCGTGCATGTTGCTCGATGCCAATTCCAGTTCCTAGCAGGAGTCTGGATAAGTCTGTGCTGGGAAATTGCAACATAGTACATTGTGTTAATTAATGCCAAACAGGAAGGCTTTCAATGCACAACATCAAGAAAACCTTTAGCAAACACTAGATTCCTTCTGTCCACGGGTATCTCATAAAGAACATTTATATTTATGACGTGGCAATGGAAATACATCTCGAGAGAACACTGCCCAGCACACCCGTAACGCTGAGTGAGGCTCAAATTGTCTGACGTGCGCAGAAGGGAACACCATTCCGTTCATTCATGCTCTGGAGTGCTATTTTCACCACTGGCAGCTCCTGCTGCACTAACTAAAATACTTCTGATTCAGTCCAACAAGTTTTTTTTTCCAGGTTTGCTTCTCCACAGTGAAACCACAGATCGTGCTATAAGGAGAGCTCCGAGAGTTGACAAGTCTAGAGTTACTGTAGGTTGCAGCGGTTGGATCCGATCCTAAAACAATGAAACCGAATGTGAAAAAGACACAGATGGCTGTCGCCTCTGTGCCATTTGGAGTGGTGTTTGGTTTCCAGCCAGCCATCCCCATGCCACAGTTATGCAAATAGAAGCAACAGCGTTTGATGCGGCGGTATACACAACTCTAACAGACTGTGGCATGAGGGATAAAATAGCCGGGTGTTTCTGAAGAGGGTGAAATGATCACCGTGTCAGCTTCAAGGACAGAGGATTTGAGGACACGGGGTGAGGCAAAGAAGGCTTTGCTGTGGCTCTGATGCTCCTGGACACCTGCACGCCCATGGACGTGCCATTCTGCAGAAGTGCAAATGTCTGGTGGAGCCTCAAAGTCCTCTTCCATCATCCTTGGCCCTGAAGAACGGCTTGTTTGTCCTCTCTGTGCAATAGCAGCTCCTTAGAACAGGGCACGCTTGAGGTTCTGAGTCCTGCTACCCCACAGCTAATGGCAGTGAGATCTGATGAGAAGAAGAATGAGAAGAAGCCATGGGAAAACAGCTCAAATTGCCATGACCGAGCATGCACCGCCGAGGTCCGGACATTGAATTTCAAGAAGAAACAAACAGAATTGGAGTCTCCCATTAAAAATGCCGTTCTCCAGTGAGACCTCAGCAACAGAATGGGTTTTGATATCTGATAATTAAACTCCTAATCAACTCCTTTCTAAAAATGCCTTCTCAATCTCCTGTGAGGATTGGGAAGGCTTAGAAATTTAATACAACTCTCTGGTTGGGTTAAACATCAGGCAGGTTTCAGACTATGTTTTACTAGAACCAGATGAATTTCTGAGCTTGAAATCCAGCATACAGAATTGAGTTGGATCTGGTGGCCACCTGTCCTTGTGTTTGTGGTATGAGTAGCTAAATGAAATTCTGGAAAAAAGGGTTATCTTAAATACACACAGGACAGAGCAAATTGAAGAAAGCCCCACTCACTGTTGTTATGTGCATCTTCCCAGCAAGAGGGGAAGATCAGGTTTGTCTCTGAAGTTACATGTGCTCAAGCTCACCTTTTTGACTCTCAGAAGCTGAAACATCAGTCTGTAAGTTCTGCTTTAATTGCATCTTGTGAATTTTCCCTTAACTGCACACTAAATCCAAGCAGACAGTATGCTGAGTTCAGGTAATTAGAAATGTTTTACTGCCAGGGCAAGTCAGTATCTCAGAAGGTGTAAATTGGTGCAGCTCAGTGCAATTCCTCACCCTTTCTGACTTGATTTGGGTCAGTAATCACCATGAATTGCTCCTTCTCTCTCATTCTCTTTTCATTCTCGTATCTGCCTATGTGTTTGTCCACCTTTGTATTTAGGTATAGGAAGGGAAGACAGTTGTGAGTAATAGCTAAATAACCATGATGGATGCGATTTTTTCCAAATCATAATGAAAATTTGCCAGATAAAAGAACAGCACGAGAAGTGATGGCATAATATAATGCCCTCCTTGGAGGTGAGCCAGCAGGGAGCTGGGCCCATCAGCAGTCTGAATTGAGGGGAGACAGTATTAGGAAAGACAGAAAAACAGCACTGTGGGATCCCAAATGCAGAAAGACAGAATCACAGAACAATCCAAGTTGGAAGGGACACATAAGGATCATCGAGTGCAACTCTTGTATCCGCTGATGATCCAACAGAGACAGCACTTGTAAGGCTTGCTAACGGAAATGATTTCTAACGTGCAAAGGCACCAAGTTCTGGTCCCCAAATCCCATCTCGTGCTGCAGGGCTCTCCTCCCTTTGTGCGAGGAACCACAGGGAGCACAAAGCGAAAACAAATTCAGTTTGTGTCCTCTGCCAGTTTTCCCCAGCTGCAGACTTTGCTCTTTGAAATGGAGGGTATCTGTTCTTTCAAAGGAGTTGTTTGTGTGCCAGTGAGTCGGTCCGTGCACCAAAGGAGCGATGCTGAGGATGGCTGCAGGGTTGGGCAGGGTGTGGGACAGCTGTGCAGGAGGAAGCGGCTCAGCAAACCACAACAAAAGGGACCCGTGGAGACTGGGGAGAGCTTTGAGTGTGGGAAGCTCTGCTGCTAAGGGAGCTGACTGTTCCAGGCTCTCCCACTGCTCACCCTGAGCCCGACTGCTTCATCTCCCACTAAAAGGGAAATGTCTGCGACTGTGGTGCTTTGCTGAGGAAAGAGTCACAAGAAATCCCTGGCGGTGGCTGGCTGGGTTGGCAAGGAGAGCCATGTGGGTGCCTTTGAAACTCCAGTGTGTTGGGCTGTCTGCTCTGCTGACCTCTGCTTCCACAGGCACGTGCTCCTGCCGTGTTAGCACTCTGCCTAGGAGGGCCCAGCTCACTGCAAATGGCAGGAGGGAGGTGATACAGGCAGTACCTGTGCAAGAGCACCTGGCTTTGGTAAAGCTCTGCTATTAGTGTTCAAAGTCTCTGGCTGATACAAGAAAATCCAACCATTAGGCTGCTTTCTACCTCAAACAATTTAAGGAAAAGATTGCACTGGTTGGACATTATTGGGCTAAATCTATGTGTTTTACATGGCCATTTTCTTAGATTTTTTTCTTTTTTTTTCTCTCAGCAGTTTAAAGAGACAGTTGTTTTTCTTGCTAATTCTTTCCTCCCAGGTGCTGATAGGGATCTCTGTAACATGAGGCCAGCTGGAAGAAATTCAAGCTGCTTTCTGAATGTTGTTTTGATAGAGTGCAGGGGATGTGTCTTTGAAGCTGCTGGGCTTGAGAGATGTCCCTGATTCAAGAGACATGCAAGAGGTGATTAAGCTCTTTTCCTAGAGCAGCCTTGGAGCCCATACTTGTGAAAGTACAGCCACTTGCTGCTGTCACCTCACACTGATCAACGGAGGAAAAAGAACTGAGGAAGGTGTTATTTCTGCAAGCTGGGAGGTGAAGGGTGTTTGGCAGAGCCATCTCCATGTACAGGGCGAAGCTGCAGCCTGGCTGCTGTGGCTGAATGGCCCAGGTCAAGTGGAGGTGTGAAGATACCCTGCTTTGTGCTTTGCGTCTCAGCCCTCTGTTGAACCCGGAGTAGAAAAGGGAACAAGGCAGTTCCCATCTTTCTGCCTTCCCACTTGAAATGGTGACATATTTCAAAGTCACTTGTTGAAAGCAGAAACTGCTGCTGGCAGATGCGTGAGATGAGTCGAGGCAATAACCCTGCAGCAGGACACTGAATTGTGAAGATTTTCACAGGGGAGATAGTTATTGTGTTTTCTGTTTCTTTGCTTTTTTTTTTGACTTTTTTTTTCCCCTGTAGTTCCTTTGCTTCTATTTGTCCTTTCCTGCTGCACCCACATGTACCCACCATGGGAATGGCCCCATGACACTGTGCTGCAGTCAGTCAAGCAGCAGCTGTCCCTGGACTAACAGCTGTCCCTGTGTGGGGCAGAAAGGAGGTGATGGCCAGTGTGCCCCTATCTGGCCCATCTCCTATCCTGTCTGCTCCTGTCCTGATCCCTCTCTGGTGGATGCTCCTCAGACATCACTGTCCTTTCCTTCCCTGTATCCTTTCAGCCCAGGCTGAAAATCCCCATGCAGGGGGCTCCGGTGGTGTGAGGGAGACAGTGCCATGAGGCACTCCCACTTCATCAGCTTCTCAGGAGCAATAGGGGAGATGAAGAGACAAGGCCTCTAGGGAAAGAGATTCAGCTTAATGCTTATATTACTGATTCAGTCCTAGTTCAACTCAGAAACCTAGGGCTCTCCTCTGAGGCAGGCTTTCAGAACAGCCCAGTGGTTTCCTGAGCTCCGGCTCTGTTTGGCTTAAGCCACGGCTGCAGGTTTCTGCTTCGGAGGAGAAGAGCCATGACAAGACTCCAGTGTGGTGGAAAGCTGACAAACCCTCATTAAGGACATTTGTAACATGTGGGGCCTAGGAAGCAAAACAAAGACAGCCAACAGAAGTTGAAGGGAAGCTGCACACGGGCTGGGAGAAGAACCCAGGTCTGCCCGGCTTCACTCCCTCCCCCAGCTTCCCTTTGTAGGTATTTCCTGCGCAGACGGTTCCTATACACATTTCCTGCATAGGTTGCACAGCCAAAGTTGCATTTTTAAAATTTTTGTTTTAAACCACACTTTGCAAAGCTAAAGAGTGTGTGTCAGGGGAGCGCAGAGGTATCACACCAAGGCAACTTTATCTGCACAGAGTCTAAGCACATTACCAGCCAAGTTTAACAGACTCTACATCAAATCTCTTAAAGCATGCAATGGCAAAAGTGCTCTGAGCACTCCCATGTCTACATCTGCAGCGATATTACAACCCCCCGACTTGGGAAAGGACAGCACAAGGACGGTTTTTGTCCGGTCAGAGTGCAGGGAGGCAATGTCCCCAAATCTGGATGTGTTTGATTTGCCATGGGTGCTCCCTTTCTTGTATGATTTCAGTGTTGAGGCACAGCTCAGAGGAATCATGTGCACATCTCTGGTCCTGCCTCACAAAGTGGGGAGGGCCTGGGCCACCATCACCAGGGACACCTAATTTCTGCAAATAATGGCAGCGGCAAGTGGGGAAATCAAACAGACAGCTCAGGCTCTGCCTTATTTCTCTTGGCTCCACAGCTGAACTGGAACAACTTTTG